TCCTTTAATTTAAAACCAAATTTAAAAAAAACAGTAAATGTAAAAAGGGAATAATTATGAATCAACATATGGCTCAATCAGGGCCAGCGCTACCATTAAGGCGAATTAGGCATTCGCCTGGGGCGCCGAAGTGAAGGAGGTTTCTAGGTGGGCTGCTCCTGTGGGTGGGCAGCGGGATTCTCCTGCCTGGGGTCGGAGCGCTGGGTAAGTGGCTGTTTAGCCAAACCCCAGCGCAGCCATATCCTGTGCTCCCTCTGCCTCCCTGATGCTGCAGAGCTGATCATCTGCTCAGGGAGAGGGGATCTGTTGAATCCCCAGCACCCGAGCAGAGCACTGTGCTTCCTGCAGGCAGGGGAAGCCGGGATGTGACCTGGTATCCTGGCTGGCCCCTGCCTGTGAACACAGGAAGCACAGTGAAGGGAGCAGGAAGCAGCCTGTGCTCACTGTGCACGGCTCTCCTGCTCCCCCAGGAACCAGGGCAGATACCTGCAGGCTGAAAGATGATCCCCTTCTCCTCCACTCACATCACTAGAACAGGTATGGCATCACTGGAGGATAAGGGGAGATGGTTATTATTGTGTGTATGTTTGAACATTGGTGTGTTAAGTTTGTTTGTGGGTGTGTGTTTTAATAAACTGACTATATGTAAACTGGTGTGAGTGACATTGTGTGTGTGTATTTCAGTGAGAGTGTGTGTGTGTTAGTGAGAATGTGACATAGTGTTTGTGTGTATGTGTGTGTTTGTTCCCTGTCGCACACATTAAATCCCACCATTATCATAAACTAAATGCACAATAGTATAAGTTAAATCCCACCAAATGAATTGAATAAATTTGTTATAACAACCATAAATGTATACAATGTAAAATGTATATGTATTAGGCAGTATGTGCATATGGATGTGTGTGTTGGGCAGTATGTGCGCATGGATGTATGTGTTGGGCAGTATGTGCGCATGGATGTATGTGTTGGGCAGTATGTACGTATGGATGTATGTTGGGCAGTTGGGCAGTATGTGCGCATGGATGTATGTGTTGGGCAGTATGTACGTATGGATGTATGTGTTGGGCAGTATGTGCATATGGATGAATGTATTAGGCAGTGAGTGTGTATGGTTGAATGTATATATTAGGCAGCGTGCGTGTATGGTTGTATGTATTGGCAGTCTGTGTGTGTATGGATGGATGTATTGGCAGTGTGTGTGTGTGTGTGTGTGTATGGATGTATGTATGTATTGGCAGTGTGTGTGTGTTCATATTGGACAGTTTCTTTTTCCCCCCCTAAATGTCTGCTCACTGTGTCTCTCCTAAAATGTCTCCTAGTCTGTATCAGTTTCCTAAAAACCTCAACAATCTCTCTATCCCTTTCCTAATTGCCTTCCCGGTCTGTTCCCTTTGCCTAAATTTATCACTGGTCTCTCTGCTTTCCCTTAGACACTTAGGTGTCTATTCACTAAACAGTGATTTGAAAAAGTTTAGATGACTTTATACAACTCTTCTGTTTTGGCCTAAATGTTTCAAGTTATATTTCAATTCACTGTTTAATGAATAGACAGGGAAAAGAAAAGAAGAGAAATTGACAGAAGATAATTACCGGATTATTCACTAAAGTGAGAATTGTAAGTGTAAGGGCAGAGTAGCCAAATGTGGAGAATGTTAACGGGTGTTTTGACCATAAATTAGAAGTTCAATTTGAATTCCCAACAATTCTCACTTTATTGAATAACCCTATTGGAATAAAGAGAAACAGGCTGGAGAGAATCAGTTGCATAGAGTGAGCAGATAAATCGTGAACATAGAGACTGCAAGCTTTTGGAAACAGAAACAAAGGAGAAAGCTGTGGATAAACGCTTATGAGAGAGTTTGGGCACTATGGAGGAAAGGGACAGCTGATCAGACCTAATTAAAAACCAAATGGCAAAATTTATACCATTTAGAAGAATTTGCCAACTCCGCTACAGTCACAGTTCAGCTGTTTTTGCTTAAACTATGCAATTCGATTTCCAATTCACTGAATTCATAGTTTAGTGAATAAACTTCTGAGAGAGTGTAGTTGCATTCAAGAGGGGGCGGCAAAATGGATCTTTGCCTAGGGCGGCAAGAATCCTTGCCCTGGGCTCTATACAAAGTTGTAAGTTCACTAGCACACAGAAAAGGTTAGACTTAGTTTAAATAGGCCTTAAAAGAGAGTTGCTATTAATGGTAAATTTTTAGACTGAACAAAAGTGGTAAATGGTGTTCCTCAGGGATCTGTTTCTGAAAACAATGCTATTCAACATATTTATGTCACGTATCCTTTGTATCCATGTGGCAAAAACAGAGATGATTACCTTCTGAAGATTGAGGGGAGTGCCGCTGGGCGGTCTTCTGCCATTACGCATGGCTTATGTGGCATGTCGGTGCACCCCGGCCGCTGCGGACCCACGCAATTATATAGCCCCACGTCCGTCCACGGTGTTGACGTGCAGGTGACGTCACACAAAAGACGCATACACGTTTTGGGGTCAACGGCTAGGTACAGCCAATTGGATCTGCAAGAGGGTTAGGAGTAGAAAGCCACCTTCTCCAACGTGCCCGAGTACACCCCTTTGGCCACCAGGTCAACTCTCAATATGCCAAATCCAATACTGAATACCTTAATGGGTATGGGAGAATAATCCAGGAGATGCTCCAGCTGAGGGTTATTAAATCCTATGACAGCCCCTGGGCCTCCCTAGTAGTTCTAGAACTGAAACGGGATGTTATGACCCGTTTCTGCGTGGACTACCGGTTGTTAAATGATAAGACTGTGTCGGACATCTATCCTATGCCTAGGATAGATGAGTTGCTAGACAGGATGTCTAGGGGCCAATACATCACTACAATTCATCTTTGTAAGGGGTACTGGCAGATCCCCCTATCCGCAGAAGCCATTCTTAAGCCGGCTTTCATCTCCCCTTCGGCTTGTACCAATTTTGAGTCATGCTGTTCGAGATTAAGAACGCTCCGGCTACCTTTCAGAGGATGGTAGATCAGCTCCTAGATGAGTTTTAGGACTATGCCTGTGCATATTTGAATGATATCGCCATCTTCAGCGATACCTGGCAGGAGCACTTGACCCAGATAGGAGCGGTTCTAGGTAGAATCAGGGAAGCAGGCTTAACCCTTAAGCCCAGGAAATGCAATATAGGGATGGCTGTACCTCAGTCACAGAGTGGGATGCGGGCAGCAGAAGCCTGAGACCACTAAGATTGAGGCAGTGGCCCAGTGACCTACCCCCAGAACGAAGATTCAGGTGTTAGTCTTCCTTGGGGCGGCAGGGTACTATAGGAAATTTGTGCCCAATTATAGTGCCCTGGCCACACCCCTTACAGATCTTCCCCGCCAAGTAGTCTGGGCCCCGGAGTGTGAGCAGGCAGTTAAAACAAGCCCTTGTGAATGCCCCTGTCTTGGCAGCTCCCAATCTAACTATAACCCAGCAGTAGTGTTAAAGATGCGCAAAACCATACAATATTTCCACATATAATAAAAGTAAAACACATTTATTTGTCTTGTTTGAACATAAAAGTAATGAAAAATTTGAAAGTACTGATTCCTATACTGGAATGCAATATTGGTTAAGATGGTACCTGGTAATACAATATTTAGTGTGCACAGTTCTACTTAGGTGCAGCAATAAAAAACAGAAAAATTATATATAGAAAAATGAAAGAATAAAATTAAAAGGGGGATAAAAACTAGCAATAAAAATGTAGAAAAATAAAGTATAAGTCCAACCTGATGATGAAGAGGAGAGCTCTATATTTTCTGTTCTGTTGGTCCTAAATCTTCCTGTAGGTATATGTGAGTGGAAAGCTTGATATGTCTGTTTGGAATTTTCTGGTGCTGAAGCAATGTGGTAAAATCCGTTTCCACCCTTTCGGTGTGGATGTAAATCGTATTACCTTATGCAGGGGATCCCTTTGTACAGTCTGGTGAAGAGCTGAAATTTATTTCCTCCGACTGTCTGTGTCAAATAGGGATCTCCCTTTGTTTGATGCCGCCGGAGCTGAGCGTGCTCAAGCTGTAAAAATAAATGCGGTAGCTCTCTATTGATCTCTGTGTGTGGTCCTTACTCGATGGCTCCGTCGATCCTACGCGTTTAGTAAGTATGCGCTTACTTCATCAGGGAAAATAGTGCAGTGTCGGATGCTGAGGAGGATTTTCTTTTATAGGGTTTAAATCCTAATTGTCTCAGTAACTTTTATGCAATAAGTATCAAATTTGTATCAATAAATAATCATACTGAGTGAATGTAATACATACATAATGTGCCTGGAGAGGACTAATTACCAGCCTATTGCCGTTTGACTATGGCCCCTGTAAGATTTTGCCCTTTAAATACGTTTTTTGGACAAGGCGTTATTTGGGCACAGTGGATTTTATTTGACTGGTTCTGGCCCTTTAAATGCTCTGACAAAGGATCTGCAGTTTTGCTATGCACTTCGGATGCAGAGTGTGAAGAAAACCCGTTTTATAGACTTAGTTTGACTGTTTTATTCCCCCCCCTCTTAGAATACCAGTTTAAACCCTTAATAACTGTCATATTTTCAAACTCTGGCTGACCCTTATAACTGTCATTTTGTTTTCCTCTGAGGAGGAGTTGTTTTGCTGCATGAGTGCTGTTGCTTTTGTGAGCTCATTAAAACAGACCTGCTTGACCCTTACTTGAAGCCTTGGCTCATGCTTGGGGGATAGGATAAGTCTGCAGTGCTGATGGTGTCGGTGGAGTGCTTGGAGTCCTCGGCAAGCACTAGGAGCATCGATTGGCAGAGGTACTTGGTCGGAGTGCCAGCGGGTCCGTCACATTTGGTGGCAGCGGTGGGATGGTGTCCTAGTGTGAGGAGAAGCAGCCCAAAGACACCGGTAGCTTTACGGAGCTACAAGTGAGTGCGACACTAGCACTCATGCAGCACCCCTGTCTACAGCGGAAACCAAGGCGCGGATCGGAGCGCTAGTAACCCAGAGTGGGGCCAAGCAAACATGACTTATTGCTATGAGGGCGACGCTTACATCACGGAGGTAAAGAGGCGGCTAGTCGAGTATGGCCCAGACCCTTCGGAAGAGGTGATCGGCCGTATCATGCAGGAGTTGGATGTGAGTTCAGATTGTGGAGACTGGGGCTCGAGACAACCGGTCTCTCTCCCCAGCAGCAGACAGAGTCACAGGGAGAGGAAAGCAGCAACCTCCCTCCTCAGCAGCAGTGCACTGTGCAGAGGGAAGAGACAACCAGTCTCCTTCCCCAGCAGCCAAAAGAGGTACCCGAAGTAGGGGTCCTCATAGACTGGTCCTGTGAGGAACCCCAACAGGCAGGTGGAGATGGGACCGAGGTCTCTCCACCGGGCCCACCGGGATGCTGGGCAGCCGGCCCAGATCCCCAGCAGCGGCCGGAGTTACCGGGTGTGGAGGCAGGTGGTCCTTATTCTCAAATGTTGAGGAACCTCATAAACTGGACCTGGGAAGACCCACAGATGGCAGGTGGAGATGGGACCGAGGTCTCTCCACCGGCCCTACAAGGATGCTGGGCAGCCGGCCCAGATCCCCAACTGCAGTTGGAGCCCCAGGGAGAGGAGACAACCGGTCTCTCTCCCCAGCAGCAGTGTGAGCTTCAGGGAGAGGAGGCAACCAGTCTCGCTCCCTAGCGGCAGTATGTCTTATAGGGAGAGGAGACAGTCGGCCTCCCTCCCCAGCGGCTGAATGTGTTAGTGGGAGAAGAGACAACCGGTCTCCCTCCCGAACAGCAACCAGAGGTAACTGAGGTAGGGGACCTCATAGACTTTGGAGGACCCCCAAAAGGCAGGTGGAGATGGGACAGAGGTCTCTCTACCGGCCCTACAGGGATGCTGGGCAGCCGGCCCAGATCCCCAACTGCAGTTGGAGCCCCAGGGAGAGGAGGCAACCGGCCTCTCTCCCTAGTGGCAGTGTGAGATTTAGGGAGAGGAGGCAACTGGTCTCGCTCCCCAGCAGCAGCAGGAGTACCAGGAGGAGGAGGTAGGCGACCCCTCCCCTCCACAGCTAACCCCTAACCCGGTACTGGGTTTAGTGGAGAAGATGTTAGCCTCCACTGACCTCCTTTCAGCAGAAGAGCTGGCATCCGGGCAGAGCGCGGTTGGCCTCTGCCCTCCCTTGCCCTCTTGGTCAGAGCCTGAATACCCACCGGCCAACCCAGCAGAAGCGCTGGCATCAGGGCAGAGCGCGGTTGGCCTCTGCCCTCCCTTGCCCTCTTGGTCAGAGCCTGAATACCCACCGGCCAACCCAGCAGAAGCGCTGGCATCAGGGCAGAGCGCCGCTGGTCTCTGTCCACTAGTTCCCCTCAGCAACCTGGGACATACAGGTCAGAGTTGGACACCAGGAATCACCAGGGGCAGTAATGGTGTATTGTGGGTGGGCTACTCTGTTAACTGTTTATTGTGGGTGGGCTATTCGACTAACTCAGGTACTGACCGACAGAAGGTCAGGTACCTGGTTAGTCTCCCCCCCAATGGAAAGATGTGTGACGAAGTGCCCTTCGCCACTTGTGTCTGGAGAGGACTAATTACCAGCCTCTTGCCATATGACTATGGGCCCTGGAAGATTTTGCTCTTTAAAGGCGTTATTTGGGCACAGTGGAATTTATTAGACTGGTTCTGGCCCTTTAAATGCTCTGACAAAGGATCTGCAGTTTTGCTATGCACTTCGGATGCAGTGTGTGAAGAAAACCCCTGTTTTATGGACTTAGTTTGACTGTTTTATCCCCCCCCCCCTCTTAGAACACCAGTTTAAACCCTTAATAACTGCCATATTTTCAAACTCTGTCTGACCCTTAAAACTGTCATTTTGTTTTCCTCTGAGGAGTTGTTTTGCTGCATGAGTGCTGTTGCTTTTGTGTGCTCATTAAACAGACCTGCTTGACCCTTTCTTGAAGCCTTGGCTCATTCTTGGGGGATGGGATAAGTCTGCAGTGCTGATGGTGTCGGTTGGAGTGCTTGGGGTCCTCGGCCAGCACTAGGAGCATCGATTGGCGGAGGTACTCGGTCGGAGTGCCAGCGGGTCCATCACACATAATATTTCATTTGAACCACAAGACTTATTATATATATTTTATTCCTTATTCATATATATTAAAATGTACTGAAAATGCTAATATATACATAGATAACCTAATTATAAAAAAGTATTTATATAGCATATAGTTGCTTATATTTGATGTAATCTATAAATATAATATTTATTGAGTAAAATTCTTCTAAATGAAAGGTCTATTTTATTCTGTTGATTTTTGCATCATTAACCCATGATTCTTAAGCATGATGTAAATTCATACAGTGTAATTAGTGAAAATAAGAAAGGAAAGGAGGTACAGTTTTTATAAATTTGCCGAAAAATGTGAGTGTTATAGGGCTAAAAATGACTTAAAAGAGAAGCCTGTATCTAGTGTTTCCCATCTTATTGGAAGGCTGCTAATTCCAGGTCTTTATTAAATCCTCCATTATAGAGTATGCCTAGCTTAAAAATCCAATATGATTCTCTTTGTCTGAGGATTTTTAATTTATCTCCGCCTCATTTTGTTGGTTGGATGGTTTCTATTCCTTTCACTGACAAACCTCTGGGATCTCCGTTATGTGCTTCCAAAAAGTGTAATGGGACTCCATGGTTGGTACATTTTATTTTAATTGCCCTTATATGTTCACATATTCTTGTTTTCATTTTCCGGCATATTCGGCCTATGTACTGTTTGCCACAGGGGCATTCCATAAGATAGACCACATATGACGTATTGCAGTTAATTAATCCATTTGTTTCATATTGTTTTCTTTCATTATTATGATTGGAGGAGAAATGTTTGTTCCTTTGTTTTATGAATGAACAAGTAATACAATTTCTCCTTCCACACTTGTACATTCCTTTCAATGGTAGATTTCTAAAAGGTTTGTTAGAGTCCTTATCTTTGTTTTTATATGGCATACTAGGTGCCACTATATTCTTAATTGTTTGATTCCTTCTGAAAACTATTCTAGGTTTAGTATTATTGGTACACATGGCTGTGGCGGAACCAACCTCACCACTGTGCACTGGAGGAGCCTGGTTGCTCGCCTGCTCCCTTTAGACTATGGCCCAGCGTTTAAAATCTTTTATTTTACCTGCAGAAAGGTTTATTCATACCTTTCTGCCGTGGTAAACTACCTGGGAACTGGAGTGTGCCGTCAATTGGCCGCCCAGAAGCTGCGTTTGCCGAACACGTGGCAGCGGACATTTTATGCTTGGGGGTTAACCGCAGCTTAATTGACGAACGTTGGTTGGCCTTTGTTCGTTTGCCAAACACGTGGCAGCGGCCATTTTAACTCCCGGACGGCCAGCGGTGCTCAGTGCCCAAACTATGGAACTGGAAACGGACACTTATTTGTGCGAACACCGCTGAGCCGCCAGCCTCCTTACCTCTGCATTCAGTAATATAACCGAATGCCTGTTCATTCAGTAGTTTAACCGTATGAACAGCATCACCCCAAATAGCCATGCCATGGAGCCTATTCGTGTAACGAAAGCCTATGGGAAAGACTTTGGCTCCATGGCGATTGAACTGTATGTATGTGATCTGAGCGCCATTCGGTAATAATGTGCGCTCAGATCTAAGCTATCTGGGAATATGTAGAATGTATGTGTTTTATTCATTATTTGCAACATTGGGTATTTTTGTGTCTTTTTACTAACATGTGCTCAATGGAGTTTTGTCTCTGTCCTTGGAGATAATTGGATTACTTCCCAATTATCTCTAGGATAGAGAGGAGGGATTGTGATGTAATTGTGGGAGTGTTTAAAGGTGTATGTCTGTAATTGGTCAATGTCTAATATGTTTCCCAGTCTTCCATCTGGTCCCCTAGGGGAGTGTCCACCAGGTGGAAGACCTGCATAAAAGCCGGGCAGGTAGCCCCAGTAAATCAGTTCTGCTTGACCCTCAAACGAAGTATCGCCTCGTTCTTGGGAGGAATTGGATTGTATGCTGATTGCCAGGAGTGTAAACTGATTGTATGCTTTTCCTGTTCGGCTGTTTCCAGTGTTCATGTGTTTACTGTTCGGGAGTTGGAGGATTCGTGTAGTTTGCAGTTCGGGAGATTGGTGCTTGCAGTAGCTGCCTGTGCATCTGAAAGGGGAATATCACCTAAACGGTTTTTAACCTCTTGTGTGCAAAACAGTCCGTTACAATAGCCTTATCCTGTTTGATAATGGGCCACTGTTTCCATATGATTATCTTGATGTTAGCTGCCGCCGAGTTATAAGTAGTTATAAAAATAGGTAATGATTTATTTTCCTCCTTATTTTGAAGTTCTTTATTACTTTCTATTTTTCATTTTTTGTTTTGTAAGAGAGTTTCCCTATTCATATTTCGGACTTCGTTACATATTTGTTGAAGATGACAGTAGTTGTAATGTTTTTGTACAAATTTCCTGGTCAAGTTATTCAATTCATCCTCTAATTCTTTAGGTCTGCTACAGTTTCTTTTAATTCGCATATATTGGCTTTTGGGAATATTCTGGATCCAGCCTTGGTGATGTGCACTCCTAGCATCCAGAAAGCCATTACAATCAACTGTTTTTCGGTGATTGCCGGTTTGAAGGGTATCATTTTCATCCACAAAGATATTGAGATCTAAGAGTAAAATTTGTGTTACTTCAGTGAATTTTAGGTTCATGGTGTTTGAGTTTGTATAGTTTACAAATCTAAGTAGGTCTTCTTTATTTCCTCGCCATATTATTATGATGCTTCTTTATTTCCTCGCCATATTATTATGGTATATTTGATGCTGCTCAGCTGCAGCGGCATCAAACAAAGGGAGATCCCCATTTACCACAGACAGTCGGAGGAAATAAATTTCAGCTCTACACCAGACTGGATCCCCTGCATAAGGCAATATGATTTACATCCACACCGAAAGGATGGAAACGAATTTTACCACATTACTTCAGCACCAGAAGATTGGTGTCAGGTTGGACTTATAGTTTACTTTACTTTTTGTTTTTATTTTTCTACATTTTTATTGCTAGTTTTTATCCCCTTTTTTATTTTATTTTTTCATTTTTCTATATACAATTTTCCTGTTTTTTATTGCTGTACCTAAATAGAAGTGTGCACACTAAATATTGTATTACCAGGTACCATCTTAACCGATATTGCATTCCAGTATAGGAATCAGTAATTTCAGATTTTTTTATTACTTTTATGTTCAAATAACACAAATAAATGTGTTTACTTTTATTATATGTGGAAATATTGTATGGTTTTGCGCTTCTTTTACACTACTACTGGTTTATATTTTATAGAAAAATTATAGGGATACTTTCTCCAGAATGAGCTGCTTCTCCTCACATATTCCAACAGACACACCTCAGATTAAAGGCACACTATAGTCACCCAGACCACTTCAGCTCAATTAAGTGGTCTGGGTGCCAGGTCCCTCAGGTTTTAACCCTTCACATGTAAACATAACAGTTTCAGAGAAACTACTATGTTTACATTTGGGGTTAAGCCAGCCTCTAGTGGCTGTCTTCCGGACAGCCAGTAGAGGCGCATCTGCGACGCTGGAGCGTCCATAGAAAAGAAATGCTTTCCTATAGACACTTTGAATGCGTGTGCGGCACTTGCTGCGCATGCACATTCGGCTCCAGTGATGTCGGACGGGGGAGCTGACGTTGAACAGGGAGGAGAGGTCACCAGCGACGAGGGAGCCCGGCGCTGGATTAAGGTAAGCTATAGAAGGGGTTTTAACCCCTTCAGCTCCACGGGAGGGGGACCCTGAGGGTGGGGGCACCCTCAGGGCACTATAGTGTCAGGAAAATCGCTCTGTTTTCCTGAGACTATAGTGATCCTTTAAGTGAATCTTTCCCTCAATCATAAAAATAAACACCCTTTACTAAGTAAATTATCCCATCACTGGGAGTATATTTATTTGCGCAGTTTACACAATTACTTGAGAAGCTTGCATTCTCTAGTTATTCATTTTATATATTTTCCCAATCCGACTAAATGTTTTCTCATGCATACAGACGCTTTTATGTTTGGATTGGAAGCAGTACTGAGCCAAGTCGGTCCCGATGGCAGAGAACATCCCGTGGCTTACATCAGTCGCAAGTTGTTAAACCGAGAAGTAAGCTACATCGCCATTGAGAAGGAATGCCTGGCCGTGAAAAAGCTACAGCCATATTTCTACAGACAACCGTCTTAACCATGGGTACACAGGGGCCCCATAGGCTTGCCAACTTTTTAGTATTTTATTCTGGGAGGGGAAGGAGCCTAACCTCGAGCCAGAGCAGACGCTATTTCGCTCAGCAAAGCTGATTAAAAGCCAGTTTTTGAGATCTAAACCCCTCAACCACTCTTCCCCCAGCTAACACTCCACGGAGTAAGCACCACAGAAGCAACTTATGCCGTCCATGCCCTCTGCCAAAGCAAAACGGCAAAGACGCAGGTCTTGAGCCTACAGACCTCCCTAAGCCTAAACCTGTTGGAACTGCTAGGCGGATTTGAGCCTAATGGAGAGTCGGAGGGGGAGGATTTCCCTGACGATCACCTGCATACCTTGAGATTGAACATGGGCCGACGGTCACAGAAGCCACCCTTGGAACCATCTTCAGGGTCCAGAGACATAGGGACAGTGCTACAGCAGCAGCTGCCCCCTAAAATGGCAGAATACGTCAAGTTACCTGCAGACCCCATGTAGTCTGACTCCATACCAGAGCACGTACAAAACACAGCAGGGAGCTCAGATGGGTCAGCCCCAGTTACACAACGGAACTTTCACAACCTGGTCATGGAGATAAAAAGCTTACTGATTCTCAAAGCCAGGCGGGGCGGGATGACAAAGGAACGTATGCTACGTATGTCCGTGGATGGGGAGAAGCCTGCCGAAAAGACGAGCAGTGCTGCCAAGTGAACGCTCCTGGAGAAATTCTTCAACCCTTTAGAAACAAGAGAGAAGACAATATGAGACAAATAAGAAGTGAAGTTTCTTCCCCTCTATATACATACGATAGCAAACGTACAATTTGCGGAACACCGAGAGCGTGCCAGAGACGCCAAAAAAATAAAAAATAAAGAGGCAATACACTTCAAAAACAAACAACCTGAAGAGAGAGGGGGCTGGCGAGGCATAAAGAGAGAGTCCCGTCGAGAACGGACATTCAGAGGCTGTAAACAATACGGTGAATTCGGGTTAGAATTAGCTCTTAGTTGTTCAAATATTTAAATAACTGGTGCGAATACTTTGAGCTATCATTTATAAACACTTGCCCAGGGTTACTATTTACTACTTACTTCCTTGCGTCTGACCATCTTGCATCTCCCTTAAAGAGACACGATATTTCAGACATTGGATACAAAATAATGGGAATTAAATTAATTTGAATTTGTGGATTATCGAGGGCATGTGAGATTTGCTGGGGTACTGAAGGAAAAGAAAAAAGAAAAAAAAGAGGAAAAGCATCACGCTCCATAGAGAAGTAATTTGAAGTAAGAGGGGGCTGGTGAGGCATAGAGAGGAAATCCAGCTGAAAACGGACATTCAGAGGCTGTAATTAAATAGAGCAAAACTTGAGTGAGAATTGGCCCTTCATTACTCATATTTTAAACAACTCTGGTGAATATGTTGAGTTGCTAATTATAAAGTCCAGGGTTGTCACTTAATACTTGCTTCTATGTGGTTGACTATCTCGCATCTCCCCTTAAAGTGACATGGTATCTTAAACACTGGATATAAAATAATAAGAGTCAAATTAATCTGAATAAATCTTCACAGAAATCCCAAATCCCTTTTTATGCCTAATTTCTTTTAACTACTATCTATTAACTACAAAGGACATTTATTGTTCATCTCACCTTTTCTCTAATCTCATCCTCCTTTACGGAGACTGTAAACGGGAACAAAACTACACAAGTAACTCTAGGTTATCTCAAAAGCTGTCTCAATCAACAACTTTTAGCCATAAAACAAGAGATTATTATTAATAATTATGACTTAAAAAAAGGACATAAAGGAAATCGGACAAAAATATTAAACTAGTTGAAGAAAAATTAGATCATACAGAATATGTGATTAAAAGTCAACAAGAAAACCAGGAAAAACTGCAACAGAAAATTCAAGAAATAGAGTTAAAAATGAGTAACCTAGAAGATTGATCCAGGCAAAAAAAAAACCTGAGGATAAGGAACATACCAGAAAATATAAGCCAAGACAAATTGCAGGATATCTTAATATCCTACTTTTTAGAGTTAGGAATCCAGATGGATGATAAGTATAAATTCCTGGAAAGATACCATAGAATCCCCAAAGCCAAGCAACTTGACTCCAGAAATTCCAAGGGACGTAATGGTAAGCTCCAACTCCTATCTATTTAAAGAGGAAGTAAGAAAAGCATCAAGGCAAGGAAGCAAGAAAGAAGAATACACAAATATCAAGGCGTTCGCAGACCTATCATATGAAACAAGGAAGAAAAGATGACTATTTGCATCAGTGACTGAGATTCTAAAATAACCAAACGTTAAATATTACTGGGGTTTTCCATCGAGACTCATAGTAGTATATAAAGCAAAAAATGTGTTTTTCGATAATGTTAGTTCTGCTAATACTTGGGTACAAGAGAGGGTATTAAAACTAAAATAAGGATCATTAAGAGAGAAGAGATACAGAATATAATTGACTGGGGTGAATAGAGAAGTGGAGGGAGAGGGAAATAGGGTAGGGAAGAAGGAAGACATTTAGAGTTTAGTAAAATATTATGATATTTTTTCTGTTTTACAGTTTTTTTGTTTTGTTTTCCTCATTTAGGATACACACATTATAAAAGAAATATTCACAAGAGAGTGTGAAAGAAAAAGGTATAGAACAAGAATAGAAACACCTTTTCACAGATGTAGAAAGATATGATATAACTTGAAAAAAGAATGAATTGAAAATGGAAAGGGTTATACACTGCTCAAAAAAATAAAGGGAACACTTAAACAACACAATGTAACTCTAAGTCAATCACACTTCTGTGAAATCAAACTGTCCACTTAGGAAGCAACACTGAGTGACAATCAATGGGATAGACAACAGGCGAAAATTATAGGCAATTAACAAGACACCCCCAATAAAGGAGTGGTTCTGCAGGTGGTGACCACATACCGCTTCTCAGTTCCTATGCTTCCTGGCTGATGTTTTGGTCACTTTTGAATGCTGGCGGTGCTTTCACTCTAGTGGTAGCATGAGACGGAGTCTACAACCCACACAAGTGGCTCAGGTAATGCAGCTCATCCAGGATGGCACATCAAATCGAGCTGTGGCAAGAAGGTTTGCTGTGTCTGTTAGCGTAGTGTCCAGAGCATGGAGGCGCTATCAGGAGACAGGCCAGTACATCAGGAGACGTGGAGGAGGCCGTAGGAGGGCAACAACCCAGCAGCAGGACCGCTACCTTCGCCTTTGTGCAAGGAGGAGCACTGCCAGAGCCCTGCAAAATTACCTCCAGCAGGCCACAAATGTGCATGTGTCTGCTTAAACGGTCAGAAACAGACTCCATGAGGGTGGTATGAGGGCCAGACGTCCACAACACCGTGCAGGACGTTTGGCATTTGCCAGAGAACACCAAGATTGGCAATTTAGCCACTGGCGCCCTCTGCTCTTCACAGATGAAAGCAGGTTTACACTGAGCACATGTGACAGACATGACAGAGTCTGGAGACGCCGTGGAGAACGTTCTGCTGCCTGCAACATCCTCCAGCATGACTGGTTTGGCAGTGGGTCAGTAATGGTATGGAGTGGCATTTCTTTGGGGGGCCGCACAGCCCTCTATGTGCTTGCCAGAGGTAGCCTGACTGCCACTAGGTCCTGAGATGAGATCCTCAGACCCCTTGTGAGACCATATGCTGGTGCGGTTGGCCCTGGGTTCCTCCTAATGCAAGACAATGCTACACCTCATGTGGCTGGAGTGTGTCAGCAGTTCCTGCAAGACGAAGGCATTGATGCTATGGACAAGCACGCCCGTTCCCCAGACCTGAATCCAATTAAGGAACATCTGGGACATCATGTCTCACTCCATCCGCCAACCACAGACTGTCCAGGAGTTGGCAGATGTTTTAGTCCAGGTCTGGGAGAAGATCCCTCAGGAGACCATACGCCACCTCATCAGGAGCATGCACAGGCGTTGTAGGGAGATCATACAGGCACGTGGAGGCCACACACACTACTGAGCCTCATTTTTACTTGTTTTAAGGACATTGCATCAAAGTTGGATCAGCCTGTAGTGTGTTTTTTTTTTAATTTTAAGTGTGACTCCAATTCCAAACCTCCATGAGTTGAAAAATTTGATTTCCATTTTTTAATTTTTGTGTGATTTTGTGGTCAGCACATTCAACTATGTAAAGAACAATGTATTTCAGAAGAATAGTTAATGCATTCAGATCTAGGATGTGTTATTTTTGTGTTCCCTTTATTTTTTTGAGGTGTGTATATATATATATATATATATATATATATAAAAAAAAAAAAAGATAGAGAGCTGCCCTCATCGTAACATGCATACTTATTAGGGTGCGGATGGGGACAATTTCTACAACATCCAAGATTCAGTGCACTCACTCTTTTACTAAACAGAAATTTCAAGGCACTTAGAAGTGCAGGCATTAAGTTGCTAGAGTAGGACATTGACGTTGTGGCAGGCTTATGCAATGTATGATCATATGCTGTAACTAAATCTCAATTTTTTTTGCCTAGCTTAGGTGTTTTTTAAATAAAACAATTACAATCTATGAGCCTTGAAATTGCTCATGTTATATAAACATATGACTAATAATGATGAAAAAGATGGAAATTGCGGTTGAACACACAGCAATAATTGCTTTGGTCCTTAAATAGATCATATAGTGTTAGGAATACAAATCTGTATTACTAATACTATAGTGCCCACTGGTAGCTAAAGGGTTAAAAACTCTTTAGTTTATTTATATATGTTTAAAAGAAGAAAAACTACCACAACAAGAGGACATAGTCTTAAATTAGAGGGACAAAGGTTTAAAAATAATATCAGGAAGTATTACTTTACTGAGAGGGTAGTGGATGCATGGAATAGCCTTCCAGCTGAAGTGGTAGAGGTTAACACAGTAAAGGAGTTTAAGCATGCGTGGGATAGGCATAAGGCTATCCTAACGATAAGATAAGGCCAGGGATTAAAGAAAATATTTAGAAAATTGGGCAGACTAGATGGGCCGAATGGTTCTTATCTGCCGTCACATTCTATGTTTAGTCGCTTATCCAATTCCAGCATCAATGTCCCTTGGCGCTCTGACTATGGGGATTGCTAATGCACATGTGCGAGCGCATTAGGCCCTCCCCATAGGAAAACAGTGCTTCAATGCAGTCCTATGGGGATTTTACTGACGCTGGATGCCCTCATACACAGCGTGAGAATGTCTAGCATCAGGCTACTAAAAGTCACCTAGCAAGCAGGGGGAGAGCCTTTAGTTGCTGTCTGATTGACAATCACAAGAGGTAGTTTTAGCCCTGCAATGTAATTATTGTTTCTCAAAAACTGCAATGATTTGCATTGAAGCACTAGGGACACTTCACACAGATCACTTCAATGAGATGAAGTGGTCTGGGTGCCTATAGTGTCACTTTAAGTGAAAACCAGGCAAATATAACTTAAAGGGGTTAAAAAAAATATAAAACATAAATAAAGCTATCTGGGGTAGGTAATGCTTTAAAACTACCTTCGTGTTTTGGTATGAATTAATCTGTTGGCTGTGCACAAGTGTAAAAAGATGCTATATCTCCATATTATGTACTGATGTCACTTTTAACAATAATAAATAGAGCAGGGATTGGCACAAAGCAGGTAGCAGGAATTGGAACACAGCAGGTAGCAGGGATTGTCATTCAGCAGGTAGCAGGGATTGGCACATAACAGGTATTGGCACACAGCAGGTAGCAGGGATTGGCACACAGCAGGTAGCAGGGATTGGCACACAGCAAGCTCTACCACACCGAGACTAATGTTAGTGGAAGAGGTGGAGAGACAGTAACTGCTGACTGGAGAGAAGCCAATATAGTGACGTCACGAGCTGCCTCAGCTTTTGTCTCGTCATGCCTTTCCTTCAGGCCTTGCTGCCTCACTATAGTAAACAGCGGCCGCTCGGTCCCGCCCACTGCCGAGCCGGCGCGTGCGCAGTGTCGTTGGTGCGGCGCACGCGCAGTAGCCGTCCCGTGCGCCTCGCAGTGAGCGGAGTCATGATGGCGGCGGACAGGCCGTGCTAATGAGACAGCGAAATAACCGCCGCGGAAATAGACACCAGATCAGCGGACACACACAGACACTGAACACACGGTAGACGCAGCGGAGGCTCCCTCCTCCTCTCAGCGGGCAGAGCCAGCGGCCGGTGTGGAAGGACAGGACAAGGGAGAGAGAGAGAGAGAGAGAGAGCGGCGCCACCCCTACTACTGAACAGCTGCAGTGGAGTTTTTCCAGGCCCGAGCTCGGGGACACCGGAGAACACGGAGCAGTGACGGAGTGGGAAGGACGCAGCCAGCAGCCGCCATGCAGATCACCCTGAAAACCCTGCAGCAGCAGACCTTCAAGATCGACATTGACTGCGAGGAGACAGTAAGAGGCTGATACGGGCCGGGGGGTGGCGGTACACCGAGAAGATACTCATTTCGAGTGAGATAAATGTAACCGTGAAAGGGCATTGACACAGCCGGTGTTTGACCTTCCCCCCCACCTCAAAACCTCCACCTATAACGGCTACAGAATGCCGGCAGCACGAGGGTTAACTGTGCGCGGAGAGGGGGCGTGGCGAGCTCGTGCGCGTCGGCCAGATCCTGGCATGCCGTGCGCGAATCACATGTGATTGGCTGGCTGCCTGAGGCGGCGCCGCCGTGGGAGAGAGGTCGCGCGCATCTCCTCGTGTTGCTGCGGTTGTGCATGTTAGCAGTTCACCTGGGTTCTATTATACAAGTTACTGAGGAGATTAGAACCGTGTCTAAAATGGTCACTGTAGGCACCAAAACAACTTTAGCTAAGTGAAGGAGTTTTGGTGTATAGATCCTGCTCCTACAGTCTCACTGCTCAAATATCTGCCATTTAGGAGTTAAATCATTTTGTTTATACAGCCCTAGTCGCACCTCCTGCATGTGACTTAAATAGCCCTAAGTGTGTTTTTATAGAACACAGAATGTTCCCCTTTATGTTAATTACACATTTTTGTATGCAATATATGATGTGCTGTCATTGGCCATCTTTCATCAGGAGGATGTTGGCTGTCCTTATTGCAGCTCCATGGCCTACTAATGGTTTACAGTAATCACAACATAGTTATATATGTTACATTTAATATAATCAAACTACAGGAACTTTAACTGGCAATGCCTGACATTACAGATTGAAGATGACTGATTTGAGACTGTAGGTGACAATCAGAAATGGCTAGTTTTTTTTTTTTTAATCAATTCTAGTGAGCGTTTTGCTGGATTACATTTATCTGGTATTGTGTTAAATATTGGGATAATACTGTAGAAGTTGTAGTTAATCTTTAAATTGATATAAATTATGTAAGGAATATTTAATATGGTGACCCATTCAATTATTTAAAAACTCTGTAACCATCTCTCATTGGGATTTAACATGCAGTAAATTATATACAACACTTTATTTAGACTCTTTAGTGTCCAAAAGTAGTTATCCTTACACCAGGGTATTCATTGCTGCTATAGTACATAATGCATTGTTGGCAGTTACCTTTAGCTCAACTAATGTATTTGTGTTAACCATTTGGGATCCAATACAATGGGGTAAATCCTATTTTAGGATTCAGAGCCAGGGGTAAAAGCCTGTTGCTTGTTTGGTTTTTCAAAAGGATATATTCTTTATGAAAACAATCAAGGACTGGAAAAATTCCCATGCATTGAAAGGATATATGTGAGACAAATGTGGGCAGAGCTTCTGCCAGCACATCCTACCAACTTTCATCATCAATGTGCAGTAGATGCCTGTGGCATACATATTGTGCAAACACAAGATTATTTATGGAAGATTTCATATTTTTACAATGTCTCCCATAGACCTTTTATGTACTCTTTTAGAAAACTGCCATTTTTACATTGCATAGTCAAAACCACCTTTTTGTGACCTAGATGCTGGAAATGGCTGAGAAACTGATTCTATTTTTTTTATATATTTTTGTCAAAACGTGGGGAGGGGGGACTACTGTACATAGGGACAGGCACCCTGTAGCATTAGTAATACAGGTTTGATTTTCGAACGCTATAATGTTCCTTTAACCAGTATTTTATAGTACTGCTGCTTAGATGACTGTGTAAAAGCACATGCAAAATGTACAACTTGTTGTCCTGCGTTGAAAAAATAGTAGCTCCCTCTGCTTTAATAGTAGGGAATTTTCTTTTATATACATTTCAAGTTAAATATACAAACATCAAATTCTGAAGTTATACAGCATGCTTCATTATTAACTATATCATATTTGTTCTTGCGAAAATGATTTCAAGATACTTACTTTGCTGCATTTTTACCCCAGTAACTACATGAGTTAAAGCAGGACTCCACAAATCCCAATGTGGGTGGCGAGAGCTGTAATTTTCTTGCTCTGCTCCCTTGTGTGCCTTGCAGTTATGCCAGAAGCATGATATGACCTGACATCGCTAAACGGCGCAAAGGAGCAGAGCAAGAAGAGCTTGAAGATTGCAGGATCACAGCAGCCACACTGGACCCACTAGAAAGGATCCATTCCAGCTATCCCAGCAAGGTGGGGAGGCTGGGTTGACTTAATTAAAAAAAAATATAAAAAACGTAATTTGTGAGTGTTTTTGTCTCTGTGTGTGACCACCCCTTCCTCCGTTTGCATTGGAAAGTCACCCATATAGGCTAGAAAATCCAATTGTCTGTGGTTTCAAACTTGTATAATAAACATGTATAACATTGTGGTATATGCAGGTATCCATATAGGTAGTCATGGAATTAAGTGAGATAAAGAGAAATGTGACATGCAGGTCTTTTTTTTTTTTCCTTAAGTGGTCTAGTTTTCATAAAATACATAAGGTAAAAAAAAGTTTCCTAGCTCTGACAAATCTTGACAAAAGGCAGAGCTGTTGCCAACAAGTTTTGTCATTCCTCCCAGCTGTCACTAGTGCCTTTACTAGTGACAGCTGTAAAGAAAGATATAGCCCTCTTTGTATTTTCACGGGTTCAAGGCAGATGAAGTACCAGGAGCTGAAGGGGACCTGTAGGAAGACCATGGTGGCCACTACGAGAAACAGATTCAGGTAAGTAAAATTCACTACCCCTGCATTCCGTGGACCAGTCACAATTGTGGATCTATGCAAAATATGCAAGATCCAGGATAAAGGAAGAAAAAAAAATGACAGGTCCACTCAGGACTTAACAAATTTGCTGTGCGTCTAGGAGCCAGCTTAAAAAAGTTAGGAGACAGTTTTTGTTTTTCTTCAAGTTACATAGCTTTATTTTCAACGATAAAAATACAATTCTTATAGAGACACTATAGTCACCAGGACCCTACAGCTTAATGTAGAGGTTCTGGTGTCTATAGCCTGTCTCTACAGGCCTTTTAATATAAACACTGCATTTTCATAGAAAAGCCAGTGTTTACATTTCTTCTTAGTGACACCTGTAGTGACTGTCACTCAGACTGCCTGTAGTGGTGCTTCCTGTGTGCAGCACCTATCTTCAGAGTCTCCACGCTCTGCATGGAGGCGCTGAAGTTCTCCATAAAGATGCTTTAATTATATGAGATGCTTATCGGTGCAGCGCATTCGCAATAGCCTCCCAGTACTTTCCTATGTGAAAACATTGGATTGGCTGAGATCATCAAGCTTGATAATCTCAGCCATAGTGGCGGGGAAGGTGAGTAAAAACACCATACCGCTGCGAACTGAGGGGGGTTGGTCACCTAAACACACAGACACCATGACTGACAGGCAGACAAACATACACGCACCATGACAAACTGACACAGACATACACATTATGTTTTAATAAAATCTGGTTACCCTGGTGGACTGAAGGCGGAAGCATGCTGAGGGGTGTTGGAGGCGAACGGCAGGTTTCTCGTACCGAGGGAGCTGAGCAGGGACGTAACTCAGCGGCATACGAGGGAGCAGAGCAGGGACCCCACAGCCTGCCGTCTGCCTCCTAAATAACGAGCCACATATCCCAGACGCCAAGGCAAATTTCCTAGGTGCCATGGGGCCTGGGTTTTGTTGAGCCCTGTGTCCACTTTAAGATTCTTCATGCGAGTACAAGGTCCTTAGAGCTCATTTTGGCCTGTAAGAACCTCTGATCTTCTCTTACTGGCAGTGAGATGCGTTCTTGACTCCATGCCCTTGTCACTCATGTGGGGTGGGGGGGCATTTGCTGTGGAATTTTGACTCCTGGCGTTGAGTAGTGTAATGTGCTAACTGGGTATATACAGTGTGTGTGTGAATCTACACTGATCAGCCACAACATTAAAACCTGTGACAAGTGAAGTGAATAACATTGATTATATCATTACAATGGCATCTGTTGAGAGGTGAGATTTAATGGGCAGTAAGTAAACAGCCAGCTCTTGAATTTCATGTGTTGGAAGCGGGGAAAATGAGCAAGCGAAAAGTTCTGAGTGACTTTGACATGGGCGAAAGACTGATGGCTAGAGGACTGGGTCAAAGCATTTTCAAAATGGCATGTTTTTGGGGTGCTCCTGGTATGCAGGGGTTAGTACCTTTCAAAAGTGGTGCAAGGAAAGACCACCAGTTAACCGGCGTCAGGGACATGGGCACCTAAGTCTCATTGATGCATGTGCAGAGTGAAGGCTAGCCTGTCTGGTCCCATTTAGAGAAAAACTACTGTAGTTCAGATTCTGAAAAACCTATTGCTGGGCATGGAAGAAAGGTGTCAGAACACGGTGCATCACAGTTTGCTTTGTTGCCGCAGAATGGTCAGAGTGCTCGTGATGACCCCTGTCCACCACTGAAAACTCCTTTAGTGGGAATGTGAGTGTCAGAACTGGAACATGGATCAGTAGAAAGAGGTTGCCTGGTGTGATGAATCACATTTTCTTTTAGATCTGCTGGATGGCCAGGTGCATGTGCATTGTTTACCTGGGGGAAAGAGAAGTCGGCAGCATGCACTATCGGAAAAAGGCAGACTGGCAGAGTTAGTTTTATTCTCTGGGCAATGTTCTGCTGGAAAACCTTCGGTCCTGTCATTCATGTGGATGTTACCTTGACATGACCACATACCTAGAGCTTGCTGCTGACTACCTACCCTTCTTGGCAATGGTGTTTCCTGGAAGCTGTGGCGTCTTTCAGCAGGATAATGCACCCTGCCACACTTCAAAAACGTGTGAGAGAATGTTCTTGTGTCAAATCAGTGTGTGCCTCTGATTGCAGGTAAACGTGTTTTTACTCACATTTTTCCCCACACCATGTTGCTCTCTCTGCTCCTGACCCTGCCTCCGTGGCTGAGATAATCCATCTTGATGATCTCAGGCATGCCACTGCTTTTCCATAAAAAAGCATTGAGAGGCTATTGCGCATTCATTGAATCAATCAACCCTGTGGTGAACTTCCAGAGATACTGCAGCACTGGACTAAAAAGCACCTTTTGTGGCCGTTTGAGTGAATGTCACTTGAGATGTTACTAGTCAGCAATGTAAACACTAGCTTTTCAGACTGCCTTTACATTGAAAAGCCTGCAGGGACAGGCTATAGACACTAGAAAGTGTTCTAGTCATTATAGTGTCCCTTTAAGAATTTCATTTTTCTTGTTGAAAATAAGGCTTTGTTAGTTTAACCCCTTAAGGACCAAACTTCTGGAATAAAAGGGAATCATGACATGTCACGTGTTTCCCCACGTGGAGCCCGGCAGTGTAGTGCAGAGCATCAGAAGCCATCCGGCAGGCTTCCGATGCTCTGCCTGTATGCTGAGTGCCTCGAGGAGGATCACATTGTGTGTTTGGTGTATGTATCTGTGGGGCTGCTTGTGGGATTGTGTGCTTGTATGTGGATTGTCAGTGATGTGTTTGTTTGGACTGTGTGTGTGTGTTTGTATGTGGACTGTTTGAATTATTTGTATGAAGGGGAGGCTTATTTTGCAGCTCTATGTGTATTTAGCAGTGTGAGTGGCTTCCATGGGGTCCAGTTAGGACCAGGCTGACAAGTGACCAGGTACAGGTCAAGGGCAAAAGCTGCGATATCTGCTGTGGGCTGCTTTACTCCAGGGTGTATTCCAGTTCATAAGTGCTTAGAGGAAGTGATCTGAGATCACTTCCTCTAAATGCTGCAGTGGATAAATTGTAGATTGAGCATCACCTCCCTTTTGCATTAGCAGATATCTGAAGTTCCACTGGGACTCCTGATGGGCCAGAGCCTGTTTGATTCTAGCAATCTCAAGTGCCATACAAAGGCACCTCGAGTACCATGCATGGCACACGTGCCATAGGTCCCTACCCCTGGCCTAGACAGTGTCCCCTCTGCAAATTATGACCCCCAGGGGCCATGTGACCACTATAAAAGAGTGGTCACATGGCCGCAATAGGCGTCCGTATAGTGCTGCCAGCAGGGGGACTGCCTGAACTGAAGTTTTAGAATAAAAATTTTATTAAAAAAATAATAATAATAAAATATATATATATGTGTATTTTTTTTTTTTTATATATATATATATATATATATATATATATATATATAATACACAAGATCCAGCGCACTCACCTATCCACTAAACAGCAACTTCAATGTTGAAAGATTTTATTTGTTTTTTTTTAAAAACACCTAATCTAGGCAAAAATAATGGGGGTTTAGTTACATTATATGATCATACAGTGCATAAGCCTGCCACAACGTCAATGTACCCCCTCTTGTTTTATATATATATGCATATAGTAATCTAAAAATACATGTAGAGTAAAATTACACGTGTGTGTGTGTGTGTATATATATATATATATATATATATATATATATATATATATATATATATATATATATGTATGTAAACATAAATTTTAAAAAGTAAAAAAAATTATATATATGTAATTTTATTGTAACTATATTTTGATATAAAAAAATATATATATATATATATATATCTCAAAATACACTTAGAATTAATATATATATATATATATATATATATTTATATATCTGTGTGTGTGTGTGTATATATATATGTGTCCATGTACATATCATAAATATACATGTAGATTTCAAATAAATAAATATGTATATATATTTAAATTCTACGTGCTTATTTATGTAATATTTTTGCATAATTAATTTTATTAATTGCAATTTGGGGGACCTGCCTGACAACCCAGGCCAAAAGTCCAGATCATTTAATTTGCTAGTACTATATGTAACCCTGTTACTTTCCAAGAGACCCTAAAACCTGTACATGGGCGGTACTGTTTTCTCAGGAGACTTCTCTGAACACAAATATTAGTGTTTCAAACCAGTAAAACATATCACAGCGTTATTATTGTCAGTGAAAGTGAAGTTTTTTGCATTTTTCACACACAAACGGCACTTTCACTGATGATATTATTGTTGTGATGTCTTTGGAAGTTACAGGGTCAAATAAAAAGCCTTTTTTCCACATTTAAATTTTCCAGATTGGTTATGTTGTCTTTGAGAGTGTATTGTAGCCCAGGAAAGGTATTGCAAAAAGCATATGTTCAGTCTTTTTTAGTAGCCACTTAGTCACAAATACTGGCCAAAGTTAGTGTTCATAATCGTTTTTTGCATTTTTAACACACAAAAATATGCTAACTTTGGCCAATGTTTGTGACTACTAAATAAGACAGGACATACCCCATATTGAATACCCTGGCTTTTCTACTTTTCAAAAATATATGGTTTGATGGGGGTAAATTACATTGGTTGATTCCATAAATGTCCCAAATAGGACATGGGTGCATGATGACCAGTTGTGAAAATTCCAAGTTGCAAAACTGGAATGCGCACCCTCCAAATAAGGTCTTTTAGTCCCCAGAGAACCCAACACACCTATACATGGGTGGTATCACTGTACTCAGATGTTGCTGAACACATATTGGGGTGTTCTTTGGCAGTAACCCTTAAAGTTCTCCGTACATGTATTCTTAAATTGCTATGTGTGTCAAAAAAATCACTAATTATTTATTTTTTATTTTTTTCAATTTGGCATAGATTGGTGGTAAAATGGTTGCACAAAAATAGTCAAAATACCCCAAGTTTAATACCTTAGGTTGTCTTCTTTTAGAAAATACGTACATGTGAAGGGTTATGCAGGGATTCCAGACAGATATCATTGTTACATTTTTAAAACAAAATGGTTTGGAAATAGCAAAGTTCTAATTGTACTTATAGCCCTATAACTTTCCAAAAAAAGAACATTTTTAACATTGGGTATTTCTAAACTCAGGACCAAATTTAGAAACTATTTAGCACGGTTGTAGACCACGGTTGGCGGTTGTAGATGCATAACAGATTTTGGGGGTCAAAGTTTGAAAAGGTGTGTGTGTGGTGTGTGGTTTTTTTTTCCCATCATATTTTATAGTAAATTATATGATATGATGAAAATAATGGTATCTTTAGAAAGATCATTTAATGGCAAGAAAAACTGTATATAATATGTGTGAGTACAGTAGAAACACAGCAGAAATGTAAAAACAGCCCTGGTCACAAACAGTAAAAAAATTGAGAAGCAGTCTAGTCACTAAGGAATTAAAGGGATTCTTTAGTGTCAGGAATACAAATCTGTATTCCTAACACTCTAGTGTCTTCTGGTCCTCCCTCACCCCCTTCTCCCGTTGCGTGTATATAACCTCTTTATTACTTGCCCGATTCCAGCACAGATGTCCATCGACACAAACTGGTGCACTGCCTCCTTCAATGTCACCTGATAGGGGGACGTAATGCACATGTTATGATCATAGCACCGGAAAATGTGCCTCCATCTCCCCTCCCTGCTCTGCAGGACCGCAGAGTACTGCTGACAGCCGGCAGGGAAGAAAGAGAGAGAGTGAGAGGACCCAGGGGAGCTCTAACCTGCAGCTCTGCCGGGTTCTCCTCTCGCGAGCTTGGAGCATGGTATAATGCTTTCCTATAGGGAAAATCCTTATGCGAGGGCAGCCATTGCTTTTTAATACTGTATAATCCAAGATACAGAGAAGAAAAGTAGAAATATTCACTTAAATTTTTAATCGCAGCCACCTCCTTCCTTTTTTTTTCTTTCTGGTCTTCAGAAGTCTGGTGGCTTCATCTGCCAGTATCCATAAACTGTATTGTAATCTCATGCATACATAGCAGATAAAAACAAGTATGTATACCTAAAATTGTTTTGCATTGGTATTTGACATACTATAGGCATCTTTTGCATATCATGCGCAAAAATGCCTGGTCCTATCAGTCATTGGTTAACTGGAAATATAAATGCGGTGGTGGAACTGATTGTGTTAAGGTCAAAAATGTTTTTGGGCAAAACATCAAAGTAGTAATTTCTTATATTTTCTGATTGGAATTCTAGTGCAGTCTTTGACTATATGAAAAACTCGACTGACAGTCTTCCTTTTTTAATGGACCCTTGCAGCGTTTTTACCTCCATTTTGTTTTTGTTTTTTTGCTCTTTTGGCACATATGGCATTGCATTCCATGTTTCTCCCTTTTTTTGTGTGTGGCAATTTAGCGGTCACTCTAAAGTAATCTGCATACTGTATAGAGTTAGTAGGTATAGGTTATTTCGTAAAGACCATAAATCTTTGGTCACTGATTGTGGTAAAGGTTTTAAAGCCATGGGGCCAATACCTCTCTCTTACCCAAATGATGACCATTATATTGAAGAGATATGTGACATGGCAAACCTGGATGTGTCATATCATATGCTTACAACTGATGTTTGTGCATTCCACAAGCATTTTCATGTGATTATAAGTCCCTTCTTTTGGTTTGGAAACACCAGTCGTGATTTCTTATATTGTAACCCAAGGAAATTGTGTGTAAAGGTGTTTTTTATTTATAATTATGTTTTTATATAGTTTTGTTTAAATGAGTGATTTAGATGGTGTATCATATATAAATATATTTATTTTTTAGGTCAAGGCATTAAAAGAGAAGATTGAACAGGAAAAAGGAAAGGATGCATTTCCAGTTGTAGGCCAAAAGTTAATTTATGCAGGTAAATACATTCTGTCAATTTAATTAAATGTGTGTGACTTTCTGCCATGTTTTATACATTGTTTTGAGATTGTATATTTAGCTTTAACTCCTTAAGGACCAAGCTTCATTTGTCTGCATTTCACTAAAGGACCACAGCTATCTTTGCTGTGTTGTGTCCAACCGTGATTTCCTTCTTTCTGATTTATTGCACTAAGCCCTATAATATAGTGTTGTTTTTTTTTTTTAATGCAAAAAAAAGCTTATATTTGATGTCCTATTCATCTATAAATTCTCATTTATTTTAAATGAATAAACAAAAGTGGGGTGGAGACATTTTATTCATGGTTTGGCAGTAATAATTTTGCATATATATATAGTGTACCTTAAGATAAGTAATTCCAAATTAATTTTTTTTGTCCTGATTTACAGAGTACACCATATGTTCGGGATTTAAGTTTATTTTTGATAGTTACAAGTATCAAAAAAACAAGGAGCAAAATAAAATTTCAGTGTGGAGCCATTTTAGTATTTGGTATGTTTGGTATGTCAAGTAAGCTTACATAGCATCACACAAAACAAAATTTCTACCCAAAAGTATATATTTATATAACGTAGACATCACAGGCTTTTTTGATACTTATTATGTAGTAGATATTTTATTTATTTTTTTCAGCTTTGAACATAATCATATAACAAGTGTTTAGATTTTTGAGTATTTTGTAAACCCGATTTGTGCTACTACTATATAAAACCCTCAAATTGTGTTCTATTACATTGTCTGATTATGATACCCCCAATGTATGTCTTTGCCACCCTGTGAAGCTACAGTGCCATATAAGAGACCTTGTCATTTCAATAAATAACGTTTGAATTTTTATAGATGGATGTGATGGTCCTATGTCTCATTGTGGGGCAATGCAGCAGTTTGACTGTTCAAAATATCCTTCAAAGGTTTACCACTTGTGAAAGTAGACACTCCAGAGTATCTCATATGATGTATATTGTGTCTTGGTGTGCGCACATTTTTTCACCAGTTTGTGATCATTTTTAACATACTCATTACAATATAACTGGCCATTTCTCAAATCGCGAGTTATGTTTCTAGCCTACAAGCAGCTTTACTTGTTAAGCTAGCTTAATTGTTAAGCTTTACATTAAGCTAGCCAAGTATTTTTAGATATCGTTAAAATTAAATTATTTTCTTGTTACCAGCTCGGAACTGGCTGGTTTGTAAATGCTAAGAAGCTTCCTCACTTTGTGTCAGTCCTGTTGCAGCTTCTTGCCACGTGTCCGAAAATGAGTGATTTTTGTCAATTACATGTGCAAAAAAGTGGATGACTAAATGATGCATACCAACACCACAATGCCCACACAATACAACATCGTTCATACACAGGCCACTTTCACAGACATAGCATGATACACAGTTCACATACATACATAATACACACAAACTGCTCGCTTACATACGCACAAATCTTAAAAAGCATTCATACATAAAATAAGAATACAGCAACATAGACGTTAATCTGAACAAAAAAATAAAGAAAAGCTGGCACACCAAGTGATTTTAAAGTTTTTGTCACTGTGCTGTTAAAAGGTTGCCTAGCACAACATGCAGATTACAAATTAAACAATTGGCAAATAAAGGTTGAATAGTAGTTTTAAGTGACAGAATCCCTTGCTATCCCCTTCACTACCCAGCACATTTTGATTTCAGAAATATTAGCATAACATTTACTTGAAGAGTGGCGTGCATAGTTACCAATTAGACATATCGTAACACCGCAATTGTGTTTATAAATTGCTTAGTTGAAAAACTTAAAAGTTAAAGGTATGTAATTGTATGCGTTTTTTCACTTATTTTTTCATTCTTGATAAAAATATTTTGGAAATTAAAAACTTTACATTTCAGTATTTCACACAGGGTCTGAAATTTAGTAGCAGAAATGTAAGTTGTCTCTCAAACAGTAATTTCCTAGCATAATGTATAGATAAAATATTAAAGCTTAATGAAGTGGTCTGGGTGCCAGGTCCAGATAGGATTAACCCTTTTTTTTTTTTTTTTTTATAAACATAGCAGTTTCAGAGAAACTGCTATGTTTTGGTTAATCCAGCCTCTAGTGGCTGTCTCATTGACAGCCGCTAGAGGCTTTGCGTTTCTCACTGTGAAAATCACAGTGAGAAGACGCCAGCGTCCATAGGAAAGCATTATGAATGCTTTCCTATGAGACTGGCTGAATGCGCGCGCAGCTCTTGCCGCGCATGCGCATTCAGCCGAGGAGGAGGAGAGCTCCCCGCCCGTCGCTGGAGAAAGAGGTAACCCCTTCCTCTCCATCCCGCCCGGCGGGTGGGGGACCCTAAGAGTGGGGGCACCCTCAGGGCACTATAGTGCCAGGAAAACGAGTATGTTTTCCTGGCACTATAGTGGTCCTTTAAGCTTAAAGGGGCACTATAGTCACCAAAACAACTTTTGCTTAATGAAGCAGTTTTTGTGTATAGATCATGGCTCTCAATTCTCTGCCAATTAGGGTTTAAATAGCTTTTGTTTCTGTTTATACAGCCCTGGCTATTACCGACACAGCCTGTATGAAAACAAAATGGTTCCATTTTCAATCAGATGTTACTTAATTTAAAAGTTTTATCTCCTGATATGTAATTTGAACTTGAATTACATACATGAGTCTCCTGCAAGGTCTAGCAAGCTATTAACAGAGCAAGAGTTAAGGAATTCTAAATGAAACAGAATTTGAAATAAAGGAAGTATAAACATTAGATGACTTTACAGGAACTGTTTTTGAAGACTGTGTAAGTCTCATACAGAAAGGTGTGCATGATCAAAATGAATTAACTCCTAAATGGCAGTGGATTGAGCAATTAGACTGCAGGAGGATGCTCTATACACCAAAACTGCTCTATTAAGCTAAAGTTGTTTTGGTGACTATAGTGTCCCTTTAATATTATGAGTATAAGTTTGTTTGGGGCATGACAGGTGCCCTTTAAAACAGGGTTTCTCCTCAATTGTCAGTCAGTTCTCAGCTTAGATATCTATGATAACGGGAGAGCATGTAATATTGTTGCCGCAGTAACTGCTCTAACAAGCTCAGTTCATAGTAAAACGTTCTTATTGAATTGTTGTCTCCTTAGGCCACGTTGTTTTTGTTTTTTTTGTGTGCATTATTAATTGCCAAAATGTAACTAACTTTTTATGATAACTTTGCAGGTAAAATTCTAAATGATGAAACAGCCCTCAAAGAATACAAAATCGATGAGAAGAACTTTGTAGTGGTTATGGTGACAAAAGTGAGTTTCTGTTGTTTAACAGTATTTCCATAGTTGAGTTTACTCTTTAAATACTTATACACTCAATACACATCATTTAGAGTTTATTTTATTTCAAAATCCATTTCGATGTTTCATAAGTGTTTAGAACCAGTTTTACTTGGCTTTATTCACAGAGCAGACAATCTAGGAAACTGTGGTGCAAGGTGAATATACGAGTCAGTAGGAAATGTCTGGAGTTATTTTTAGTTAAGATGTATTAAAATACAAATCTAAAAATTGTCTCTGATGTAATGCTTATGCAAAACACATGCATAGGTGTGGGTTGTTTTCCTTGGAACAACTGTGGTAGCCCAATCTGTGTCCTGACACACACAATTGTCTGCATTTGTGTGTGTCCTGAAACACAAATGCATGAGTGTATTTGTATGCAATATCTGTGTGTGTAAATGCAGAGGTGTAATTGAGGTGAGGCTGAGAGTGTGTGTGTGATTGGCTGGTCTTTTGAAAGTATATTTGCATGCCCATTCTATTTCCTAGTTAATAAGTCTTCTTCATCGCCTGTAGCATATTCCCCATTTCCACATCCTCCCATAGCCAGAAGTCAATTATCCACCCTCTCCCACAGACCTCCTATATTCATGCCCGCCCGCCCACCCTCATAGTCAGTAAGCTCAACTTCCCACAACGAGTTTTTATACTCCCACTAATAGCCAATAAGCCTACTCCCACCCCCACATGACCAGCAAGCCCAGTTACGTTCCCTGATACCTGCAGAGTCCACAGCAGGATTCAGCAAAGTTCTGTTCATCTCTCAAGCCACACAGAGCTTCAATGTGTGTGTGTGTGTGTCTAGTCCTCCCTGCTGAAAATGATCGCGGCATAAGCACCTGTGAACCCAGTGCCAATGTTGTGATCTACTTGTCCATAGCAGAGCTAATAATCAAAATAACTTCCTTCATGGGGCACAGATCATCATGTAACCGTGGCTGGTTCCCTTATTTACCACTATAATGTCTTAAAGCATAGAACTTAGTAGGGCTAACCGTACAGATATCTTGGCCATAATTTTATATAGTTAGTGTAAGAGATCCTCTATTTAACATAAATAATTGAGAATACAATATAAAATAAGGATTGTCTTGGAAGCAATAAAGTTTTTGTCTTTTTGGATATTTATTATATAAATATAGACATATAAAATCCATTATAGCAGAGTTTATAAGATTAAACTAAATGCTTGCAAATAGCAGTAATAGGTTAACATGTCATCATGTCAGCCTCTCTGTCATTTTAAGATGGAGCAGCGTCTGTCTCTAAGTCTCTCCTCTGTGTCTTAACATTTAAAAGTACACCTATTTATACCTTAGGTGTCTCCATTTTAGGGTTACCGTAGTTCATATATGAAAAAGTAACACTTCTTTTACTTTATTCATTTTAGGACCTCCCTTAATTTGGCAGACATACAAGGCCATTACTAAAGGGTGCATATGTCAGGGAAATTTTCCTGACTTAGTTCAAGATGGCATCTTAAAGTCTGGACATCCTTATCTACTAAGGTTACTACAGTATATTACGTACTGAAAGAGTCGTGAAGCTTCTTTATGCATTATTGTTATTGTAATTCGTCTGGGACAAAATGGTGCAAACATATTATGCACTGAGGTTATTGCTTAAAGAAACAGTTATGAAAAACAATACGTTCCATTTCTAACACTTTGTCAGTTTGCAATATCTCTTAAAGACAAAGTACACAGTTTAAGCAATACAACATTTCATTCTAAATCTTGTAATATTTGCACTTGCCCATAACAATCATGTCTCGTGCATTCGTAGATAGGAATTACACGTGACATGTAGGTTAAGCATTGTGTACACTGTGATATAATGTGTACTTATTTGTTGCACTCGTGTGCAATTTAGACGTAATGTTTGTTAATTGAAAAAATGGATATTAAAGCTCCATCAGCCACTATAAAAAGATTAAGAGAATTAAAGGAACACTTAATGCAATATGACAACTTTATCTTATAGAAGGTTTTATAGTGCCATAAATATGCCCCTTTTGCCAAAGTGTTTCTTTAATAGTTCTGACATATGTGATTAAAGGAACTCTTCAAGTACCATGACAACTAGAGCACTGTCTTTATTTAATCATAACTAGTCAGGCCGGTTATAGGCGTTCCAGTTAGCCCCTCCTGACCTGTTTGATCTCTCTCAGCCAATGAGCTAAGCCAAAAAGTGTCTTGCTCCCCTATGCTCTATTAGTAAATAACACTGGCAATGTTTTTATAGTGCCATCATTTTAAAATTAATTTTAGTGAATAACATTGTGCAGATTTTTTTAAAGTTCCTCATTTAAAGGACCACTATAGGCACCCAGATCACATCAGCTCAATAAAGTGGTCTGGGTGCCAGGCCCCCCTAGTTTTAACCCTGCAGCTGAATACATAGCCGTTTCAGAAAAACTATATTTTTCACTGAGGGTTAATCCAGCCTCTACTGGCTGTCTCACTGACAGCCGCTAGAGGCGCTTCCGCGATTCTCAATGTGAAAATCACAGTGAGAAGACGCTGGGCGCCTATAGGAAAGCTTTGAGTAATACTTTCCTATGGGCGGTTTGAATGCGCGCGTGGCTCTTGCTGCACATTCGGATCTGACGTCGGCAGGGGGTGGAGAGTTCCCCATCACAGAGGGAGCCTGGCGCTGGAGAAAGCTAAGTGGCTGAAAGGGGGCCCTGAGGGTGGGGGGGACCTAATGACCCTATAGTTCCAGGAAAACAAGTACCAACTCAGGAGACTGAAAATTACACATGAATGTCTTCAGAACAACTTCAAATAGGTTTTATGACGTGCTCACATAAATCCCACATACTTCACTTACTTTGTGACTTTTTGAAAGTTTAAATTAACTATTCAAGTAAGACAACTGTTCACTACAAATGTTTGTGAACTATTATCTAGTAAATTGTTTCCCTTTTTTTTTCTTCTTATATACTTCACTATTTTGTACTACTCATATTCAGCTTTAGGTAAATGCACACCTGGGACATGTAGTTCCGGGCTCAAGCAGGAAGATGTTTTTTTAAAAAAAAAAGAAAAAGTTTTTTACCTTGAGTCCTGCAGCAGGCAAGTGGCTAGGCTGCCTGGGGAGGACAGGTCTGTGGGAGCGTGAGGTTTGCAGTTGTGGCAGGCGCACACTTTAAGGCTCCCTTGTAGTTCCAGCATGCTCTAGTGAGTCAGAGCGCAGCTGCTGCAATTCCCAGCACGCACTCTGTTTCACTAAATGCTGGACTATGGTGGAGCGATTATTCAGAACTGCAGACCTTCACGTTCCAATAGTGGAAGCACCAGGGGACCAGCCCTGGACAAACAGTGATGTAGGAGTGGACCACCAGGACCCCTGCTAAATGCCATAAAGTGGAGGTCACATACTACTTTTCAAAATGAAGAACACATATCACACTGAAATAAGCAAATAATAAAATTATTTGTTGAAGCCACATATGGCCCGGTTTGAGGTGAAATGCACAACGTTTCAGCAGTATAGGTCATAATCCTGTGCAGCCAAAAGGTTGTATATTTAACCGTGAACCGAGCCAAATGTGGCTTCAATAAAGGATTTTACTATGTGCTTATCTTTGTGTTAGTTCTGTTCTTCATTTTAAAAAGTAGTGTTACCCATATCCTGAGATTGGGAGGCAAAGTATGACTTTTTTACTTTTTTCTTTTGAATTACCATATTTGGAATAATTAAAGTGACGCTATAGGCACCCAGACCACTTCATCTCATGGAAGAGGTCTGGGTGCGGTGTCCCTGTCCCTCCTGAAATGTAGTACTAAGACAGCCTCTAGTTCAAGAGTCTTTAAAATATTCTTGCTAATTACTTGTTGCTCTCTTTTTAGCCAAAAGCAGCAGCTTGTCCTTCAGCACCATCTCCGGCACCATCTCAGCCGGCCAGCACTGTAACTGCACCTCCTGCATCACCCCCTCGTACATACACACCTATTGCTCGAACCAATGCCCCTGTAGCTCTACCCCTCCCTTTCCCTCTACCAACTATTCCCCCACCACCTGAACTTGCCTCTGAGCCGATGACAACTACGGTTTCTCAGGAAGAGAAGCCCGAAGAAAAGACTGTAACTCCCCCAGAGACAGTGAGCCCTTCGTCAACTGAATGCAGGTAAGTGCATCATGCTTTGAAATACTGTTATATTAGTTGTACTGTTATACTGTTAAAGGACACTATAGTCACCAGAACAACTACAGCTTATGGTATTTGTTTTGGTGAGTATAATCATTCCCTTCAGGCTTTTTGTAGTAATCACTGTATTTTTAGAGAAAAGACAGTGTTTTATAAGTGGTATATACCAATTTTAGTTGGGTTTTCATTTATAATTGAAAAACTTGATCCGTCAGTGGATATCCTATTCTGGTAGCATATTAGAGTGACACTGTAGGCCCTATCGCCATGTACATAGTTACATAGGCTGAAAAGAGACTTGCATCCATTAATTTCAGCCTTTCTCACATCTGTTTTTGCTGTTGATCCAAAAGAATGCAAAAAACCCAGTTTGAAACGCTTTACAATTTTTTTTCAACAAATTAGGGGGGGAGATCCTTCTTATCACCAGATTGGAAGTCCGATCTCTCCTTGAATCAAGAAGCAGTTTCCCCGCCTATTAAAAATGTATATCCTTGAATATATTTTTGCATGTATTCTTCTAGTTGCTGTTTGAACATCTGTACAGACTATGATAAAAACACATCTTCAGGCAGAGAATTCCATATCCTGATTGTTCTTGCAATAAAAAAAAAATCCTTTCAATTGCCTTTGACTAAATCTCCTTTCTTTCAGTCTAAATGTGTGACCTTGTGTCTTATATATTCCTCTTTGTTTCCAGGTGATAGTTTGTATTGGCCTCGAATATTATATTTGTAAAATGCTATTATATCCCCTCTGAGGTGCTGTTTTTCTGAACTAAACAGATTTAAAATTTGTTAACCTTACTTCATAACTAAAATGTTCAATTTATTTTATTAATTTTGTAGCCCGTCTCTGCACTTTTTCTAGTGCCATTATATCCTTTTTTTAGAACACGTGCCCAAAATTGCACAGCATATTCAAGGTGTGGTCTTACCAGTGATTTATTAGGAGGCAAATTATATTTTCATTCTGAGAATTAATGTCACCTTTTTTATACAGGACAATAGCTTACTGGCTTTAACTGCTAATAGAAATTGTGCATTGTTGCCTAGTTTGTCTGTAACAATTCCCAAATCCTTCTCATGTGTTATCCCTAATTCACTTTTAGGGTGTATGTTGCTTGTGCATTCTTTACCCCAAAGTGCATAACTTTGCATTTTTCTGCTAATCAGCCATTTCAGTGCTCAGTCCCCCAATATATCTAAATTCCTCTGCAGCAAAATAATATCCTGCTCACATTGTATTACTTTGCAGAATTTTGTGTCATTTGCAAACACTGAAACACAAATTTCAATGCCTATTCAAGATCATTTATAAATGTTGAATAGATTCGGTCCCAGAACAGCACCCTGAAGGACACCATTTATACCACTGGCAGAGGATATTCATTTTCTTGTAGCCATACAAATTTATACCAGCAATGGGTGTACTGATAGGCTGAAATGGGTCAGCTGACACCCTCAGACATTCATTACAATTGCTGCTCAGGCTAATGCTTCCTTATCATCCCAAGCAGTCAGAGATTGTAAATTTGGCATTAAACATTAAATACAGTTTATTGATGAATAGAAGGATTACATCAGGGGACTCCAGCACTATAACCACTTCAATAAGATGAGCAGATACTAGTGTGAGGGATAAAAATTATAAGGTTTATAATGTCCTGTTCTTTTAGCATACTTTTAGCATAAAGCTGCTTATACTGAATGAGACATGCTATACTGGCATATATTTGACAAGATGGCCTAGAATCTATTGAAACTATTTTAATGCGTTTCACAAGCAGATTGGCAAACTTAAAAATTTAAAAGTCTGTATTCTCTCTCTCTAGTTTATCAACTGATTCTTCTCGGCCATCTCTTTTTGAGGATGCCACAAGCGCACTTGGTAAGCACGATAACATTGTGGGGCTTTTTTTTCAAATGAGCAACCTCATTTGTCTGATGATAAGACTCTTTTAAAATGGACCAGTGTTTCTTAATGATATTTTGTCTACCAAAATACTAATGTCCATTATGAGATGCTAATTTTATCCGAGTGGCCCCAAACAAGTTTTGTACTGTCACCTTGACATCATTACTCAACAAAGTATTAAAGTGGCCAATCTTTGTATCTCAATAGATTGTTTCTGCAAAAGATCTAATGCATGGGTGAACAAACGTTAATGACATGGGAATCTACTTTTTCACAGTCATGTTAGTGAGATCTACTATCTCATAAGCACAGCACTAACAACGTCAATCCAAGTGAACTTCTATATAACCAGCATTTTTATTTTACTTGGGAAGGGGCTATGTACTATCTCTAGTTGCCTCGTATATTAAATGACAAAGCACCTATCACACTGTATTTACTTACAGTAGTCCCCAAAATTTCATTTACAAATGCATATCTACAATTTAACTTGAATATAAATTACACAGGTCTTATCTCAGACTTGGGCATTCTCACACACTGATGTGTGCCCCCAGCAGCCTGTACTCTATGCTCAATATTCATGCATTTTAAGTGTACTCTTTTTTTGTCTTTTTTTTTTTTTTTTTAAACCTTAATTTTTCTATGCTGTTAAGTGACAGGCCAGTCCTATGAAAATATGGTCACAGAGATAATGTCAATGGGATATGAGCGAGAGCAAGTGATAGCAGCACTGAGAGCTAGTTTCAATAACCCAGACAGAGCTGTTGAATACCTTCTGATGGTAAGTTGTATTTAAAATTATGATTATTTATGCAAGAACGTGTGTTTTATCCTTACCAATACACATCTATTTGCCTCTCTGACTCCTATGGTAGCGAGCTGATCTAAAGCATATACTGGAGGAGCAGCGGGATGCTGATGTGGTGACATTGTTGGTACAGTTGTTTGTCCATACTAGCCTGTAAAGTGCTTTACATGAACACCTACATATTCATTACTCCAACACATATTCATGTGCTCTTTGATTCCATTAATTTTTAACTGTATATTATTGAAATACAGATGCCTTCTTGAAGACACACCTCTTCACAAAAGTGTGTGCCATTTCAGACCTCAATGCCCACATTCCTCTAAGTCCACATCTTCTGTCCATACTCCTTTCAGATTCCTGCACTTGTACACTTGTGTATCCATCATCTCTACTCCTCCTGCCTGTGCAACTCCACTCACCCAGTTTATTACAAATGTTAGCATTTCTCTTATTGTTTGGTAAATGCATTTTTTTTTTCTTGTGTGAACCCTTGATCATTTATAAAATACAGTGTGAAAGTATTTTTTATAAAGAAAGAATTGTTAAATATCAGGTTTGTTTACTGTTAAACCACTTGAAACACAGGTGTCATTAACAAATATGTAGTAGACTTAAAGGTTTACTCCAAGCACCATGTCCACTTCACTGATTTGAAGGCGTCATAGTGCCTGGAGTTTGTGTGTAGCGCCCTTTAGCTGCCAGAGGTATAACTCCACCTCTGGCAGCATATTAGCCAGCCCAGAACTAAGAAAGAAAGCACGTTGTAAGCAGAGAACTTGTCAATGGCAATAAGTTTTTGTGGATTTGGGGGGGGATGGTTCATTTATTTATTTATTGGTGGATAGCTTCCTCTAACAAAAGTGTTTTATGAAAACTCTGGCTTTTGGTTGGAGTAACCCTTTAAAGAAACTCTATTTACCAAAGGTGTGTCCTAAAAGCTTACTGTTTGTTAGCTGCAGCTAATGAAATGACATACCTACTCCTTATCCAGTAATAATTTCCTTTTTAGTGCCGGACATTGCCAATCCAAAGCTTCCCAGAAAGATAAGGTGGCTTTGAGATTTATAAATTTGTATTGTATATTAAAAAAAACAAAAGAAATCATACTTTTTGTGCTATGTTAGATCATAAGTACTCTTTTAAGTATTCATGTTATATACCGATTAAATGGTGACTTGCTATACAAAGCAGTTGTGGATTAAAATTCTTACCATGCTCTCCCAACCACAGGATAAATTTGTACCCTCTGATCTCAGTACTTTATAGGGGGAAAATAGAGCCTATTCACATTTCTTTTTCTGGGTAAAACATACTGCTAAACATCCTGTGTACTGTGGCCAGATGCAAAAGTTGCACAGAACTGATACTGCCAGACAGGAAAAGTATAAAGGCAGGCTTACTGAAGGCTCAGGTAGGCAGTTTTATTCGTGGGGTAAAAAGGTTTTTATCTTTGTAATTAAACTTTAAAAAAAAATAAAAAATTAAGGGTGAGGTGGTGCAGGACCAAAGTCTTTAAGCATCATAACCATGTCATCTTACATAAGTGGTTATGATGCAGAGTGACCTTTTAGCTAGTGGTTATATTCTTTTTTTGTTTGTTTGTTTGTTTTGTTTTTTTGCAATAAACATTTCAATTACCTGTATTTTTTTTTTCTCTTTTCCAATTCAACATTGCATTAATTTTTTATTTTTTATTTTAATATTTAGGGTATACCTAGTGATCGAGAAGGCCAAGCAGTTGAACCTCCTCAAACTCTTAGCACTGCTCCTACTCAGCCTCTTCCTGTAGCTGCAGGGGCAGCAGCAACTACTACTACACCTACCACACCTTCAACCGGAGGTGAATATGCATTAGTAGATATGTGTATTCCATTAATTTAACAATTTTATATTCCTTCTTTATATTTAGAAATTCTAAAAACATGCTGCCATATTTCCTAGTTTGTCTTTAGTTTTATCTTGATTGTATGAGCATCTTAATAAATAATAAATAATAAAAATATAAGGTTGTCAAGTTTTCAGTTAGGGACGGTTGAGCTGATGTGTCTCAATGGGAAAAGGAAAGTAAGACACATCACTCTTGTAGTCTGAGTGCTGGTATTTTATCTGGCCAGTATTTTATCTGTTGCTTAATGCATACTTACAACTATTTATATAAAGCCAACATATTTGAAATTTGCACACACTTAAATTGAGAACTAAAAGTTAGCTCTTGCTTATGCTAATCTTAAAAAACAAAACAAAAAACAACCCATTGATTTAGCTTTTTATTTAAATTCCATTTTAGGCACCACATTTAAATAGTTAGCCACTGCCGAAGAAAATGCTGAGCAGTCATATGGTCATACAGAATTTCTATGTAGATGCCCAAATTTATCCAAGGCATTATAGTGCACCTAAATTTTCCACAACGCAGAATAGCAGAGTTTTGTGGGATCGGAATGCCCCACTTTGCAGTTTTTTTTCTGACATTATGTATATGAATCCAAAGACAATCTGGGTACACTATTGACACATTGCTTCACAGTTTGGGTTTTATGCGCCACCGTGTCAGCGGTATATCAGTTTACTATATATGAAAAGATGCACACCTTAGTTAATAATCCAAATCTCTTAATTATACAAAGTAAATCAAACAAAAATACAATACAAACACTGTTACAAGACTATACCAACCAGCGACAGAGGCTATAAAATATGTTCTAAATCAAACAGGCATAAAAGCTCATTTGCATATTACCTCAAAGGGCTGGACACGTGTACAGAACAAAACCCCAACTATTCGGCACAGCTACTAGTGCCTAGGTCATGGGATGGTTATAAGTAAGGTATGCATCTTTTTGTATATAGTAATATGTTTGTCATTAAGGGATGACCCTTTAAGATGGCACCCGTAGATGTTATGTGAATTGCAGCCACTTTCCAATTGAATTTGCTTAGCAGTATATCGGTATCCACAAGATCCATGGTATGCCTACCATCCAGAAAAAAAAACAATTGTTTAGTTAAATATATAAAATATACCATTTTAATTACATTGTATCAATCTAAAAATCTTGATTTGTGAGTAATGTCAATGTTTTATGTACATTATTTATTCATTTATTTTATTTCTAGGAAATCCCCTTGATTTCTTGCAGAATCAGCCTCAATTTCAGCAGATGAGGCAAATAATTCAACAAAATCCTTCTTTGTTGCCGGCACTTCTACAGCAGATTGGACGTGAGAATCCGTCACTATTGCAGGTAATTTTCAAATTGTTTATTTAAAGTTGGAGTACTGAAACTTAAAAGTGCATACTGAGTATCAGCAGAACATAAGTGCATTTTAAATTTTTATTTAGCCTTATAAGCAGTGTTTTCTCTGTTTTTTTTACCTTTTTATTTCTTTATTTTTTTACATTATAGTGTGTAGCACAGCCATTGATTGAGAGAGAGATCAGATAGAGCTGCTTGCCTCACTCTACCACACAGCCAGTCACTGTCCTTTAAAGTTGTGCTAATTAAAAAGGGAACAGATAGGACAGCTTTACTCACAATGATTTCTCATTGGCTGATCTAAGTACTCATAATAAAGTTTCTTTGTGAAAATAGGTGTTGTGGCTTAGGGGGCAGAGTTACACTGCAAAACCATCAAAGCTTGTCATTTTTACATATTCGTTCTCCCCTCCACTTCCTACTAGCTTTTCCGTCCCTCCCTCCGCATTAATATGAGGCCAAAACCATATGCATTAAAGTTGGGTTAGTGAATGGAGTGTGCTTCTAAGTAGGGGGTTTATACTACAGATAAAATACGACATATGTTATTTATAAGAAGAGTCTTAATCTCTCCAGTCAGAGTACAATGTTCGCTAAAAATAAAACTAAATGAAAAATAATGGTGCAGACTATATTATATTAAAAACTGGATATATTTAGCAGATTTGTAATTGTGTAAACTATTTACCCAAAAGCCCAGGCTGGCAGGATCAGGTAAGTATAACATACTCCTTCCTGTACAAGTGTGGACTCCCAGGTCACAATATACGTCCCATAGATTTTTTTATTTTTTTTTTAAAAGAAACAACTCCTGTTTTATTCACAAAAAAATGTTTACATTTTTTGTGAATACATTTTGGAGATTTTATCCATGGGACCTATCCTATACATTTATAGAGATACTTGATGGATTCAGTTATATGCTAACCTTTCAACATGAGACATCATTGAGGCATGGTTCCAATTATGATGATGTGGGGTTTTTTTTGTTTTGTTTTTTTACTGTTGATACATATTATATAGAACCTAAAATCTGCACACCAGTCAAACCATAAGACTTGCTTTTCCCACAGAAATCACAAATCTGCAGTGATGTTACTACCGCAAAGGATACTGGGTGGGCATATGCAAATTAGTTTAACAAAGAATCACATTTTTGTCTCATTCCATTTTAAACATGGATTCCTTTTACTGTGTTTGATGTATACAACAGCTTTGAAACACAACTTAGGAAAAGATGTGAAGATAAATTTATTTATTTTGTTTTTATTTTTTTGGCACATTGTATGTTGATTGGAGGGATATTTATGTATTGATTTATTTTACGTATTTTGGGCTTTGCTGGAGTAACATTAAACTTATGGGGATGGGGATTCAGATCCTTCTTTTATATTGGTGCCATTTTTGGTCATTTTTTTTTTAATGCAGATAAAGCTGCCATACTAATGCAATTGAGGGTGTAGTTTGTACCTTAGTGAGAGGTCACATTTTATTATAGAATTTGTTGAGTGTTTTATGGGTGTTAACCTCTCTGGTTTTTGTGTATTTTCATTTTATGTGTATGACAGCAAATTAGTCAACACCAGGAACAGTTCATCCAGATGTTAAATGATCCAGTCCCTGAATCAGGTGGGCAGAGTGGAGGAGGAGGTGGCAGTGGTGGAAGAGGCGTAGCTGCTGAGGCTGGAAGTGGTCACATGAACTACATTCAAGTTACACCTCAGGAAAAAGAAGCTATAGAGAGGGTAAGTGGTTGGTTTTATTTATTTATGTTTTGAATGAAGATGAATCACACAGATATAATGTATTTGGCCTTGTTATCGATGCTTACCTGATCCATACTGTAAGTAAAGTGATTTCGACTATACTACTTGTGTGAGCTGTTAGAAAATAAGAGGTTGTTCAAAGATTATATGGTTTGTATATATTGTGGATTTTTACTTCTTGGATAACTGAAAGTGCATTAAGCAATGCCTTGCATTGCATGACTTAGCTCAGTTAACAATGTTCAGCATTAGTGGTGGAGAGGAATGCGTGGCCGACATCGGCTCAGAAGTCAAACCAGTTAAAATGCGTTATGGTGTTTGAAGTGTTCCTTAACGTTGATTAACACAGAAAATTACAACTTTACTCCTTGTGTATGAACACTGAATGACCGTAAATCTTTTTAAACAAGATTGGTGTTGCTTAAATTAACAATTTAACTTTTTTTTAACCCCTTAAGGATGGCGGGTGTTCTATGCCATCCTTGGGGACCTGGTCCTAAACGCCAGCGGGCGGCACAGAACGTCCCTGCAATCCTCTTCACTTACCCAGCCGCCGGCGATCGCTGTGGGGGGGACTCACCTGGCATCCATGGGAGTCCCCCTGCTTCCATTCCGGCCCTCCTGGGCCATGTGACCGCGAAGTCCTTGCGAGGACTTCACGATCACATGGACGGCACAGCCGTCCATGGCAATGCCAGCGGGGGGAGTGCCTGTAATGACAGGTACTCCCCCTGCTGCCTGTAATTGGTAAAAAAAAAAAAAAGAAAAAAGTTTAAAACACAGTTTAAAATAAAATATATACTTGGATTATATATATATATATATCCTTGTTTGAAGTGCACTCACAGGATTCAGAATTATTTCAAATCGTGCTGTTTATTCAAAGCATCAAATTTCCAGTAAATGGTGTCAACGTTTCAGTCCTACAGGGACTTTTCTCAAGACAATTTAATAGTGTGACTCATTACATTTAAATATACATTGTGAAGAGTTGATTGGAGGGTGAAAGGATGAAAGTGAGGTTCATTGAATCATATGGAATGTGTATCACATGTGTAATCATGAATTACAAATAGCAATAGCTGTTGCTAAAGTGAATCATTCATTAAATATGTGATATAGAGTGAACTACTCAAAACAAATAAAAAAAAAAAAAAATATATATATATATATATATATATATATATATATATATATATATATATATATATATATATATATATATATACGTATGTACTTTCGAGTATAAGCGAGTTTTAGAAGCGCATTTTTATGCTGAAAAACCCCAACTAAACTTATACTGAGTCACTATCTGTATTATGGCAATTTACATTGCCATAATACAGACTGGGGGCTGGCAGAGCTGTTACTTACCTCTCCTGCAGCTCCTGTCAGCTCTCTCCTCCTCAGCGCCGGTCCGGTCAGCACCTCGGTCAGCTCCCAGTGTAAGTCTCGCGAGAGCCGCGGGGTCATAGTGCGGCTCTCGCGAGACTTACAGTGTGAGCTGAGAGAGGAGCTGCACGGACCGGCGCGGAGGAGGAGAGAGCTGACAGGAGCTGCAGGAGAGGTAAGTAACAGCTCTGCCAGCACCCTCCTCCCCCCACTGAACTGCCAATGCCACTGGACCACCAGGGAAGGAGAGCCCCCCTCCCTGCCATGTATCAAGCAGGGAGGGGGGACAACAAAATAAATACATTAATGATTTATAAATAAAAATAATAATAAAATAAATAAAATAAAAAATAATATAACAAAAAAATTAAAATAATAATTTTTTTATATAAAAATGCCCACCCCCCACCAAGGCTCTGCAACACAAACACACACTGCACCACACACACACACACACACACACTGCATTCATACACACACACTGCACTCATACACACACCCTGCACTCATAAACACACACACTACATTCATACACACACACTGCACTCACACACACACTGCACTCACACACACACTGCACTCACACACACACGCTGCACTCATACACACACGCTGCACTCATACACAAACGCTGCACTCATACACAAACGCTGCATTCATACACACACACTGCACTCATACACACACTGCATTCATCCACACACACTGCATTCATCATATACACACACTGTAAATAAATATTCAAATAATATAATTTTTTTAAGATCTAATTTTATTTAGAAATTTACCAGTAGCTGCTGCATTTCCCACCCTAGTCTTATACTCGAGTCAATACGTTTTCCCAGTTTTTTGGGGTAAAATTAGGGGCCTCGGCTTATATTCGGGTCGGCTTATACTCGAGTATATACGGTATATATATATATTTTTTTTTTTTTTTTATATATACAACAAAAAAACAATGTTATTAACCCCATATAAAGTACACGTGAGGGCTCAGAGTGATAGGTGCAGAATGCATGACTCATGCTCTAGTATATAAAAAAAATAAAATAAAAAAAAATCTCAATCATAGAAAGTCTAACACCCACACTCCGGGTCCTAAACGTGTAACAGCATCAGGGATATAGCTCCAAACCAGGGTAAACTATAATGTAACAACACAGAATATGACAATAGCACTAGAAAATTGCTAGAATTATGCATCAATACAATAGCATGTAAGTAAAAAATCCACGATTAACTATAAAAATTAATGCTAGGCATGCACAATAGAATGTCGAAAAGATGAGTGTATAAAATTAACTTGTAGTAAGATGGTAAATAATGTAACTTATCCCATAGAGGGCAGGCCATTACACATAAAAGGATACATGTCTCTACAGTATGGGTCGTCAACCTGGTCCCTACCGCCCACTAGTGGGCGTTTCAGGATTCCAGGTGGGTGGTAGGGATTTTCTAATTTTGAGAGACTGGGTGGGCGGGTGCAAACTGGCGGTACCCCTGCGACCAGGTACCGCCATCACCATTTGCGGTCCCGGCCCGCGCGGCAAACTGCCGGGGCCGTGTATGGAGGGTTCCATCGGGTGGCCCATGCTGTCAGGGCCACCCGATGGATGTGGATTGTAAGGGGTCCCGGTCAGCGCTGCGCGCTTAAACAACGCAACCGGGCCCCCTGTGATTACATCACCAAGCTGGGAGGAAGTGACTGCACGTCACTCCTCCCAGCTAACACTGAGAGCCGCGCAGGAGGAAGACCAGGCAGTCAGAGTGGGAACTCTGACTCCCATCCACCTGAGCCACCACTGAACCATAGGGAAGGTCACCCTCCTGCACCTTAAAGGTAGGAAACAGGAGGGTGACTAAAATATTTTGTTTGTTTCTGTGTGTGTCTTTGTGTGTATGTGTGTCTTGTCTTTGTATGTATGTGTTGTGTGTGTGTGTGTGTGTGTGTGAGTGTTGTATGTGCCTGTGTGTGTGTGTGTCTGTATTTATGTGTGCCTGTCTTTATACTGGGCTATAGTAAGTAATAGTCAGTGGCATACCTAGCTCAGCCTTCCTACTGGGCATTGCTATAAGGAAGATTAAAAAAGTTTTAAAAAAAAATAGGGGAATGGTGGGTGCGGGGGGGCGGAAAGGTGAGGAGGGGAGCTGACGCACAAATGAGAAATCATATTATGCGCAAATAGAGAAGTCGTCTGACTATCACCGAAAGAGGAGACCTTCGTTTGTTCCTTACGAAAATCGAACCAGATATCAAATATTTAGTCTTGCAGCATCAAGCTCAAGGATCTCATTAATCACTAGTAAAGGTAACTTCAATTTACTTTATTGTTTTCTCATTAAACTTTATAAAGTTAAAAACATTATAAACATGCATTAAGTAGAAATAAAAAGATAAATGTACGTACATTTTTTTTTTTTTTTTTAAACTCCCTCCTTTTCTGCACTTGCGCGAAAACTGGTGGGCGGTAAGGACATTTTTTTTTCAACCAAAAAGATGCATTAGTGGGTGGTAGGTAGAAAAGGGTTGACTACCACTGCTACAGTATTATTCAATTATTATATATGAATTACAATAAGGGTATATCTACTAAGTGTTACATATTGTGTAGGACAAAATCTATACTCTGGATAACATGTCAATCAGTTATCCTTGGGGGCTCAGAGTGATAGGTGCAGAATGCATAACACATGTTATAGTGTACAAAATCACAATCACATTAAGTCTATAAGCACCTACACTCTGGGTCCTAAACGTGTTACAGCATCGGGCATATGGCTCAAAAACAGGGGAAACTATAATGTAGCAACACAGAATATGACACTGACACTAGAAACCTATTAGAATATTGCATCAGTGTTATGCAATAACGTGTCCATTAAGTATCCACGATTACGTATAACAATGGATGCTAGACATGCGCAATGGAATGCTGAAAAGATGGATGTAGGCAATTAACTTGTAGTAAAGAGATAACTAATATAGCCTCTCCCATAAGGGGCAGGCTATTACACACAAGAGGATACATGTCTCTAAAACATTGTTCGATTACTATATACAGATAACAAATAGGGTACATCTACTAAATGTCACATATTGTATTGGACAAAAGCTATGCTCTGGATAACATATCAATAAGTTATCTTCTTGGCAGGAAACAAAGTGGATTCTTCTCCTTTAATCCTTAGGGAGACATTGTGTCCAATGTATAAATCCAAAAAGCCTCTCTGTCACGATTGCCACCCGTGGAAGGTTCAGGGACGTGGTCTATCCCCATGAATCTAAGCGAAGGTAGTGGATGCCCCATCTCCAGAAAGTGCCAAGCTACTGCGGTACTCGCACTTCTATTTTGTAGTGCCACCCGTGTGGCTGACCGATGTCCTCTCATTCTTTTCCGGAGATCATTAGATGTTTTGCCCACATACACCAATCCACAAGGGCACACGATCTGATAAACCACAAATTTAGTAGTACAAGTAATTCTATATCTTCTTTTAAACTTCTTGCCAGATCTAGAGTGAAAGCACTAAAGAACACAAAGAACTCAGAACTGTATAAGTGTATTTTAATATATATAATTATATATATATTAATATCAAAATACACGTACAATGTTATATAATATAAAAAAAGTAAATACGTTTTTAAAATAAATAAAAAAATGTGTGTAATTTCATTCTGTATTTTTATATATGTGTGCGTGTGTGTATATGTATATATATATTTCTCAAAATACATGAACGAAATATATATATATTCATAAGTGTATATATACACCTATCTATGAAAAAATGTGTGTGTATATGTATGTATGTCCTGATGAAAGCTCCCCAGTGGAGCTGAAACGTCGAATTTTTCTTCCGCAATAAATGGAGAAGTTATCTTCTGGAAAACCTAGAGTGCTGGTATTTTCACTTTGTACATATATATATTCTATCCAGATAGCACTCTCTGGACTGTTGAATCTAATAAAACTTAGCTTTTAATGAGCTTATAAAAAAATAATCTTTTTTATAAGCTCATTAAAAGCTAAGTTTTATTTGATTCAACAGTCCTGAGAGTGCTATCTGGATTCCTTTTTACATTTTGCTTGACAAGCACCGGGCAAGTATATTCTAATTATATAGAGTGCAGGATTATTTTTCTTGAGATATATATATATATATATATATATATATATATATATATATATATATATATATATATATATATATATATATATATATATATATATATATTAATTCTACGTATATATTTATGTAATATTTTTACATAATTAGGTCATTTTATTAATTACAATTTGCGGGACCTGCCTTACAACCCAGGCTGAAAGTATAGGGAATTTCATGTGCTAGCACTATATTTAACCCTATAACTTTCCAAGACACCATAAAACATGTACATGGGAGGTACTGTTTTACTCGGGAGACTTTGCTGAACACAAATATTAATGTTTCAAAACAGTAAAATGTATTAGAACGATGATATCGTCAGTGAAAGTGGCGTTTTTTTGCAGTTTTCATTCACAAACGGCACTTACACTGATATTATTGCTGTGATACTTTTTAATGTTTTGAAACACAAATATTTGTGTTCAGCAAAGTCTCCCGAGTACAACAGTACGCCTCATGTACAGGTTTTATGGTGTTTTCAAAAGTTACAGCGTCAAATATAAGGCTTGTTTCATTTTTTTCACATTAAAATTTGCCAGATTGGGTACATTGCCTTTGAGACCCTATGGTAGCCCAAGAATGAAAATTACCCCTATGACGGCATACCATTTGCAATAGTAGACAACCCAAAGTATTGCAAAAGGGGTATGTCCAGTCTTTTTTAGTAGCCACTTAGGCACAAACACTGGCCAAAATTGGCATTTTTTGCATTTTTCACACACAAACAAATACTAACGCTAACTTTGGCCAGTGTTTGTGACTAAATGGCTACTAAAAAAGACTGGATATACCCCATTTGCAATACCTTGGGTTGTCTACTATTGCAAATGGTATGCCATTATGGGTGTAAATTTAATTCCTGGACTACCATAAAGTCCCAAAGGCAACGTAACCAATCTGGCGAATTTCAATTTCAAATGTAACGTGCTATATTTGACCCTGCAACTTCCCAAAAGCCATAAAACCTGTACATAGGGGGTACGGTTTTACACGTGAGACTTTGCTGAATACAAATGTGTATTTTATTGCAGTAAAAGCAAACAGTATTATGACATTGACCGTTAAAATGTCATGTAGAACTAAAAAAATTTAAAAAAAATATTTTCTCCCATTTTTTTCATATTAAATTATGTTTCATAGCTAAATATTTGATATTAAATGAAAGCCCTGTTTCCCCTGAATAAAATGATATATAATAAGGGTGGGTGCATTTACTATGAAAGAGGTGCATTACGGTTGGACAGACATGTAGCGCAAATGCCAGGTTTTGTTTACATTTTGTTTCGTTCACAACGTGTACATTTGGCTCCGTCCTTAAGGGGTTAAGTGCACCCACACTTATTATATATTATTTTGTTCAGGAGAAACAGGGCTTTAATTTATCATTAACCATTCATATATGGAACATAATTTATTATGAATAAAATTTTTAAAAATGTGAGAAAATAAGATTTTTTTTATTTGTATTTCCGTCTGACATTTTAGCTGTTAATGTCATAATACTGTTAGGTTTTACTGCAAAAAAAATGCACATATTTGTAATCAGCGATATCTCACGAGTACAATAGTACCCCCCATTGACAGGTTTTATGGTGTTCTGGAAAGTTACAGGGTCAAATATAGAACCTTCCATTTTCAAATTGAAATTTGCCAGATTAGTAATGTTACCTTTGAGACGGTGTGGTAGCCTAGGAATGAGAATTATCCCCATAATGGCATACCATTTGAAAAAGTAGACAACCCAAGGTATTGAAAGTGGAGTATGTTTAGTCTTTTTTAGTAGCCACTTAATCACAAACACTGGCCAAAGTTAGCGTTCATATTTGTTTTTGTGTGAAAAAAGCAAACTAATATTTGGCCAGTGTTTGTGACTAAATGGCTACTAAGAAAGACTGGACATACCCCACTTGCAATACCTTAGGTTGTCTACTTTTGCAAATGGTATGCCATCATGGGGGTAATTCTCATTCCTGGGCTACCATACGCTCTCAAAGGCAACATAACCAATCTGGTAAATTTCAATGTAAAAAAAAAAATGAAATGCAAGCCTTATATGTGACTCTCTAACTTTCCAAAACACCATAAAACCTGTACGGGGGGGTACTGTTATTCTCGGGAGACTTCAATAAACACAAATATTAGTGTTTTAAAACAGTAAAACATATTACAACAATAATATAGTCCATAAAAGTGCCGTTCGTTTGTAAAAAAAAAAATAAAAATAAAAAATGCCAAAAACGTCACTTTTACTTAAAATATCATTGTTGTAATACAATTTATCATTTTGAAACACTACTATTTGAGTTCAGCAAAGTCTCCCGAGTAAAACAGTACCCCTTATGTACAGGTTTTATGGTGTCTTGGAGAGTTAAAGGGTCACATATAGTGTTTGCGAATTAAATTTTCTGCACTTTCTCTGTGTTGTCAGGCATGTCAATCAAATTTTAATTAATCAAATAACATAATTATGTTAAAAGATTACTTAAATATACACGTAGAATTTTAATATATACGTGTATACTAATGTAATCTTTTATGTAATTGTGTATGTGTGTATGTATATGTATATGTGTATGTATGTATATATATATATATATATATATATATATATATTTTTTAAGTGTATTTTGATATAGATTATATATATATATATATATATATATATATATATATATATATATATATATAAAATACAGTTAGAATGAAATTACATATGAAATATATTATTTTTATTTATTGTAATTATACGTGTGTGTGTGTATATATATATATATATGTGTGTATATACATATATATCATCATTCTAAGTGTATTTTAATACTAATATATGTACTTATATTAATATTAAAATACACTTTGCATGACGTTACGTGTGTGTGTGTGTGTATATGTGTGTGTGTATATATATATATATATTTTTTTTTTTATTATTTTTATTTTACACATGTTTAATTTTTTTTTATTTTATTTTTTTACACTTCCCACCAGCAGGGGGACTGTCTGGCAATTCAGGCAGTCCCCCTGCTAGCAGATCCACAGCCAGCTATAGGGGGCCATGTGATCGCTCTTTGAAAGAGATCACATAGCCCCCGGGGCCTCATTTGCTGGGGGAGGGCTGCCTGAGCTGTCAGGCAGCCCTCCAGGAGAGATTCGCGGCGGAGGTAAATACGCCGGACCTCCAGGGGCTGCAAGCAGTTACGGCGTTCTATGCCGCCGCAACGGCTTTAAAGCCCACTTAATGCGGGACGGCGTTAAGTGGTTATCCTTAAAGTTGATCAACACAGAAAATTGCAACTTTACTCCTTGTGTATGAACACTCAATTACCGTAATTCTTTTTAAAGGGACACTCCAGGCTCCCAGACCACTGCTGCCCATTGGAGTGGTCTGGGTACCAACTCCCACTACACTTAACCCTGCAACTATAAGTATTGCAGTTTTCATAAACTGCAATATTTACATTGCAGGGTTAACTCCTCCTCTAGTGGATGTCTACCATACAGCCACTAAAGGGCACTTCCTGGTCTATAGCACAGGTTTTCTGTGCTATAGCATTGCTGGACGTCCTCACGCTATGTGAGGACCTCCAGTGTCGCTAAAATCCCAATTGGAAAGCATTGAAAGCATTTTCAATGCTTTCCTATGGGGAGGTCTAATGCGCGTGCGCAGCATTGCCGCGCATGAGCATTAGGGCTCATCCCGCCAGCTGACGGTGGGGGCGGAGCGTTCGCGGACCTTAAACCGTCTCTGGTAAGTCACTAAAGGGGTTTTCACCCCTTCAGCAACATGGGATGGGGGGTGGAACGGAGAGGGGACCTGCAGTGCCCCTTTAAACAAGATTGGTGTTGCTTAAATGAACAATTTAACTTTTTTTTTTTTTTTTTTATAAAAGCTTTAAACTGTCAACAGAATATATAACAGTGCATATGTATTTTCTTATCTTTTAGCTAAAAGCACTAGGATTTCCAGAAGGACTCGTGATACAAGCTTATTTTGCCTGTGAGAAGAATGAGAATCTGGCGGCCAACTTTCTCCTACAGCAAAACTTTGATGATGATTGAAAAGAAAAGACTATATTTTTTATCTCACTTCACACCAGTGCATTACACTAACTTTGCTCACTGGATTTAATGGGATGATTTGGGCTCATATCCACAATATTTGGTGTATGGTAGAAAACAAATGGGAGGGTGGGAGGGCTGGGGAAATAATGGAAAACTAGGACTTGAATAAATACTTAAATCTGCTTTAATTAAGCAGGTCAGAGTGTATTATGAAAGAAAAGATAAATAAAAAAAAATACAACCAAAATTCATCTTTCAGTAGGCAGTTTTTCTCATCTAAACACCACTTGCTATCTTCTCTAGACCGGATATGTTTTTTTTTTTTTTTTCTAGTTTTCTTAGATCCAGAAATTTAGTGTAATGCCCTGCTTCCTACTTTCTTTTAACATTAACATTTGATTTGAACATAGTCAGTGGTATCAGAGAGACAATCTGTTTCTTGGTAACACTGAATAATAACCTTATTAAGTCTAGGCCTCCGTGGAAGCTTGTAAGACGTAAATGCCAAAATAAAAATAGGTGATTTATTTGCTGCTTCAACAAGAAATGGACACAAAAATTTATGAAATTAGTGCACAGAAACATTTTTTTACAAAAGAAATGCTGTGAAAGTAAATTCAGAATCTCTCCTTCCAATAAATAATAGTTACTGATATTTAAAATAACCCTGATCATTGAGTGTGAAGTGCCCACTTTTTTCTGACCTCAAAGCTTTTTGCACATAGGATGCATTTTTTTTTTCTCATCCCCCTTTTTTTTTTTTTTTGCAGTTTAGAGGATTGGGGATGATTAGCCTCTCGCTGATTACACCAATGTTACATTGCAGTATAAGTTTTAAATGAATTGTTGCATGTTTTTGGTTTTGATGATCCACACTTGGTGTGTTAAGTAACATTTATTCTGTGATTACTTTACCATGTCAGCCACCAATATGTAACCTCCTTTTCCAGTCAAACCTATTCCGTATCATTCATGGACACTTTGCATATTTCCACCATTTTTACATGCTACACATTGAAAGAGATACATACACCTTTATGTAAGCAGGGCTTTTGATCTCCTAAAATAATTTCATCCCTATAACAAAATAGTCAATAAATGAGTGACCGTCCTTCTGCTTGATGAAGCTGGCATGGCAGATCTTGAGAGAACACCTCCTCCGTTAATTTTTAAAGAGGGCATGTTTGAAATATAATTAACATTGTAAGAATTATATGTGTATGTATTGCTTATACATTGGAAATGGACAGTTAAAACAATCAGCAAAAAAAAATAATAATCCCAAAAGTTATGCACAATATTAAACGTTCTCCTTGTCTAGTGTTTGTATTTTTGTTAGGCAGATTGCTATACCATTTGTTGTGTGATTTGTTTGCAGGACATGTTTGATATTTGCAATGTGTTAAGACACATTTCTGGATTTGTACCCCAAAGCTTTGTTTTTATCATTGGAATCAACAATTATTCCATAATACCATGCTATCCAGCCATTGGATGTCATATTCAGCGCTCTAGTGCCTTGACCGGGCATAATGACGCCCAAAATTTAATACTGTAAGCCAATGACAAAACTCGTTTAGGGTTAAATGTTGGTCACGTTCAGTTGCTTTTGCTTTTGAATTTCTCATTCAAAAATAGCTCTGTGTTTTTTGTTTTTTTTTGAATGCTAAAAGCCCAGTTTTTATTTGCACTTTTGTCATTGTTGCTCATTGAAAGTACCACTCCACACCCCAAAAGCACTTCAGTTTACTGAAGTGCTTTATTGGTGAGGAGTTCCCTATTTTAACCCCAATTTATTAAAGTGCTGATTTCTTTGAGAATCAGCACTTTTATAAATTAATTAGGGAACCCCACACCCTGGCTGTCAAACAGCCAGGGAGAATTCCTTCCTACTTCAATTAGCTCCCCTGAGCTAATGGAAGTGGCAGGCACGCCCTACGAGAACGTGCCTGCCTCCCTCAGGCCAGTTCCAGACGTGCGTGCGTGTACAAGCCGTACACACGCAACAGTGTGAGCGCCTGTGCACGTGGAGACCAAGTCAGAGGCTTCTCAATGAGAAGCCTCTGGTTATTTCCCTGTGAAGAGACTGAAAGTCTCTTCCAGGGAAAAAGGGGGAGGGTTTACAAAGGCTGCAATCATAAGAAATGCAGCTTTTGTAAGCTCTTTTAGACTACACTCCCACTAAATACATAAATGCATGTATGTATACAGTGGGGGTATATCTGCTAAACTGGGAAAAAAAATTAGATTTTTTTTTTTCCTCCTTGTAAGTGTGGAATGGTCCTCTTTAAGCAAAGATTGTTGTAAATTTCAGAAGGCCACAATAGCCAAATTGAAAGCATAGTTTCTTTGTAGACTTTTTCCTCATGTGGCTATTTTGGCCTACATTTTGAAATTCACCTTGTATTGGCAACTCTCATTTCAGTGAATAACACTGTGTGCATGTATGTATCCCTTCCTGTCTCTTAAAATGTTTTCTAACTGGGATATAAATACCCAGTAATAGCTATAAATATATTTAATTGACACTGAGAAGTTCAAAAATCTAAAAGCCATATAATGTTTAACCATAATTCAGATAAAAACACTGAGAAAATACACTTGCATACTTCATCTGCAGAAAGTGCGCATTAACATCATTTCAATCCTATTAATAATGACCGAACTCAGGAATTATGTCTGAACAGTATGCCTTTGGCATGATTGATGTTAATGGTATAGTGCCATCATAGAAAGAGGTATATCTTTTTCCCCCCTCAAACAAAAGATCAAAAACGGGTTGTGTCCCTTTTTTGTTTTGTCAATATGTGCATATCTCAACAAGGGAAAACCTAATAAGACATATAATAATAAGATATCTTAAAAGGCCCATCAAAGTAGGAAGAAACATGTCATTTTATTATGCTAACATAACGTAATAGCGTTGCTGAGGTGAAGCAAGGGTTTCTGGGAGTCATTATGTTTTTAAGTAGTCAACATATACAGCAGTATTTGTGTATTAAAAAAAAAAAAAAGGTTTCAAGAAGGGGGAAATCTGCATGTTCTACCAACCATGTGTGAATGTTTAGAGTTGTTTTTTTAAGGGGATGGTGTTGTAGATGTTAATGCATTTGTAATAAAAAGAGAATTGAAAGGTGGTACACTTAAACAAAGTGGCCAGAAACTACTTTTATAGGGAACTTGAATTATAGAATAGGAAAATGGTAGAAGGTTGAACAGAAAGATTACAACTGAGAAACCTACACGGTCATACATTTTCTCACTTTTTAATTGGGTTTTTAGTCTCCGTTAAAATTAAGGTCTCTGCTCTGTTTGGCATATTTCTGTTCTTGTTGGCATACCATGGCTGTGAAAGTACAAATTTCTCTTGATATTGTTGGTTAGGAACCATCATTGCAGTTATTGATTTTATAACCTGGAAGACCTTCTGCTCCAGATAACTAACCCCAACCTCACCAGTAATAATATTGGAATATATGCGTCTTTTTAATTATCTAAAACAAGTTCTGGCTTACACCCATAACTCAGAATAGTTTTTAGCCAATGCAATCATTCTCTGATTAATAGCAATGCTGTTGAAACTGCTCTGTATTCACCGCTAAGGCATTACTTGCAAATGTTAAAGATAGAAAGCATCAGTAATTAGCTTGTAAAATATTGAGTTCATAGAGGGTTGTGCCTGAGTAGGCTTTGACCAAAGTCTAACCTGTGAGTTAGATATTTTTAAGACTAGACTTGTAGTTTTGACACCAACATGAATAAATATACAGTGGTTTGCATACCACTACTTGACATTTATTTGCTACCACTCAGCACATGTAAAGTTCAGCTTGTGAGCCTTAACATACCTTGAAGGGATTTTAAAGAATTTAACCCATCCTGCACCGCATCGCTCTGCCACCGTCCAAAAATCTTAGATAATGAAGGGCTCCGGCAAGGGTGCCAGTGACTGGCTTAAAACATCATGTGAGTGTTTAAGCCAATTAGCAGTTATCTAGGATTTCAGAAAATGATAGAGCTATCTGGTGCTTCAACACATATTTTGAAGTTAAATCCTTTTGTGAGCGGTTTAATCCCTAAAGGTGATCCAGCGCCAGAGACCTCCCGGCATCATTTTTAATTTCTAGATTTTTGAGACGACTTTAGGAAGGAAATCGTCCCTAAGCTTTAAAACCACTTTAGAATGGAAGATCAGTGTGTGTGAATTTTGACTAGAAAAGGCTTGGAGTTCTGACATACCAACCAAGAATACATCCTTGTAAGCGAGGCGTTGAAATTGTATGTTAGAGTAGAAAATGGAGGTTAGGTTATGGCATCTAACACCAGAGGCAAATTCCAAGGAGGAGCTGAGTATCTAGTTCATGGTCGCATGGTTGCTCTAAAGAATCTGAAGATGAGGTGATTGAGGACCATAAAATAATGCAGAGGGCAGAGCGAGCTGACGATTGAATGTTTAGTGTGCTGATGCTAAGGCCTTTGTCTATGCCTGCTTGAAATAATTCCAAAACCTGAAGCTGTGTGAGAAGCAGAAAATCCTTTGCCCAGTTCTTGAATGTCTCCCAAATATGATAAAAGCATGAGGAGGTAGAAGGCTTTCTTGCCATAGGAAAGGTGTAAATTCCAGAATTTGACAGTTCTTTGTTTTGGGGTGACAAAAGCCACGCCGGCCAAATTCAAGATAGATGGTTTGAGGTGAGTTGCTGCTCCTAGAATCAAGAGGGCTGTCCTTAATGGAAGTCTGAAAGAGAAGTTTGAGTCAAGTGGGCCATATGGCAGTGATGGCTATGACTTTCCTATTCTCTGTCCACATTTTCTTCCACACTGCAGTGATTAAAGGTAAGGGAAGGAACATACCCCAGATTTGGGACATGGTGTCTGGTCCTAGTGCTATTTGCATATGGAGTTAGGGAGAAGTAACATACAATGCAAGTTTTAACGGGTGGCCATGTGGTTGATCTGAGTTATGCCCCACTGTTCCTTCAAGAGTTTGAAATCCTTCAGGTTCAGATGCTATTCGCCTGTGTGAATGCAGGATCTACTGAGAGTCCACCAGGAGATTACAAACCCAATAGGTAGATGACTTTTATCCCTTTCAGGCAATGTTGTGCTGTAGTCATCATAGGAGGCAGCTCTTTGAGGAGGTGTTTGCTTCTTGTACCATCCTGATGATGCCTAGATGTTCTCTTTGACTCTGACCTCTCCTTGATGCCTCATTTTCAGTCTATTGCCAAATCCTGTCGTTTCCATCTCAAAAAGATTGCACGCATCCGACCTTACTTAACGCCAGATGCGACTTAGGTGCTGGTCCATTCTACTGTCCTTTCTTGCCTTGATTATTGTAATCCGCTTCTCAGTGGTCTTTAGTGCTCCCAACTTGCGCCGTTACAGTCCATAATGAATGCAGCATCTTCCTGTCTGCCCGCACCTCCCACGCCTCACCCTCCTGTTAGTCCCTACATTGGCTTCCTGTAATATACAGGGCTCAATTTAAAAGTCTGGTTCTTGCTTTCAAATCTCTTCATAATGCTGCTCCCAACTATCCATACTCCCTAATACACAAGTATGTCCCGTCTAGGCCCTTACGCTCTGAAGACTTATGTCTATCTTCTGTCCGTATTCCCACCTCTGATGCTCGCCTTCAAGACTTCTCGGGGGCTGCACCGTTCCTGTGGAACTCACTTCCCTCGGTTGGATACTCACCAAGTCTCCACTCCTTCAAAAATCATTAAAAATCCACTTCTTCATAAAAGCGTATCAATTAAACTGTTAATAGCTCCCGACTGATTCCTCTCTTACAACTGTCATTAGTCTAATATTATTCTTACCTTTTGTGTCACTTTCCCCAACTCCCTCTAGCATAGATGCTCATTGAGCAGGGCCCTCAAGCCCTCTGTTCCTGTGTGTCCAACTTGTCTGGTTACAATTACATGTTTGTTCGTCCACCCACTGTAAAGCGCTATGGAATTTGTTGGAGCTATCTAAATAACATAACAATATAGGCAGCAACTGTTCTGTTGTCTGTTCTTATCCAAGTAACTTTGATTATGTGCATGAATTTCTTGACTGCATTTGTGATGGTTATTTTTCTTTGAGATTTGAGTGTAGTGGGTTGTTTTTTCTTCAATAGGCACCAGGTTCATTGAGTCTAAGTAGACCCTCTGTGTGTTCTCCATTCCAGACAATTGCCATCTGTTGGGATCATTTGCCACATGGGTTCTTCTAGAGCAAATACTTCTAGGTTTGTTCTTGTAGCCATCACCTTAATTTATTCTTAACTTGAAGCGTTCATATAAGTTAACAATTTGTTTTTCTTGATGTTGCACTGACTCAGGAAGTTCATCTGAATAGGTATTCCACTAACCCAAACGAACTAGTCCTATGGTGAAGTTAAGAGAGACCCCAAGATGCTCATTTAGGTCCTGTCAATAATAGATGACTCCTGGAAAATCAACTGAAGCTTGTTCCTAATTCTGGGTATTCTTTCTGGTGATACATTGATTTTTGACTTGACCGTGTTTATAGAGGCTCCCTGGAACACTGTCTGATGGAAAGGGTTAAAGAGCTCTTCTCAAAGGCAATTCATTGTTTGATTGGTGTGGGAATAACCATCTGCAGTGTTGAGGCGACACTAAGGATATTGTCCAGGTAATGAACATTAACTTTGATTCTAAGAAAAGCTATGAGAGCAATGGACATTTTTTAGAAGGTTCTGGGAGCGAGACCAAAGCGCAGGCCATTGAACTAATAATGCCTTCTAAAGCTGTATAAGCAGAGGAACTTGTAATAGAGATTGTGGATGGGGATGTGATAGTCTGTGTCTTTCAAATCTATTGATGTGAGCCAGTCCCATGGATTGATGGATAGGACAATTGTGGAAAAATCTTAAAATAGGTATTTTAAATATGTACTGATGTCTTTTGAGGTCTATACTCAATCTCCATATCCCATTGGGCTTCGGGACCAGAAAAAAATGACGGAATAGAATCCCTAGCATTTTTCAGAGTGAGAAATTTTTTCTATTATTCCTTTGAGGAGTAGTGCGGATATGTATCTTTTCATTACTTTTTTTTTTTTTTTTCTCCTCTTTGAACCTTTGATCTCCAGAAGGTTCTTTTTGTTGAGAATCTGTTGAATTCTAGTCTGTATCCATCCTTTATGATGGATAAGACTCAAGTGTCTTAGATATATTTGGCCCACACAATAGAATTAAAGGAGTCTTCCTCCTATGAGATCTGACTGGACCAGTAGCCCTTCAGAAATTTTTAGACTAGGTTCAAGATCCTCTCTCGAGTAGCTTTTGTAGTGGAGAATGATTGAAGTTCTGCTCTCATGAAAGGACCGGTTGCGAAATCTTGTCTCTCCGTGTTGATGGATTTGAAGATCTTTTCTTTGGGGGGGGTAGGAAGGCTTTTTTTTACTGTCCGCTGCTTTTAGAATTGCTTTATCCAGCTCCTTTCCAAAAAGTAGATTTCCCTGAAAGGGTAAGGAAAACGTAGACTTATGGTCTGTTCTTCAAGACTGAAGCCATAGAATCCCTCTGGATGCCACAGATAATCATCTTGGTAATATCCAATGATGCTTCTGAGTTGAAAGGCTAGTTTGAGTTCTAGTTTCGATAAGGTGTTCTCTTCTGACTCCTCTAGCCAAGTCCTCTTCCTGGTTATCTTGCTAGACTCTAACAACTCTAGATAAGGTAGTTAGGGCATTGCTGGATATGAAGCTGAACCAACAGATAACTAGGCCTTAATTGGATTTTATTCCATGGGTTGTTTTATATATGAAATGAATACTATAAGGATAGTGGTGTGCTTGGTAACTGATGCATCTATTTTTGGAACAGAGATCCATGATTTGTATCCAGGTACGTATACAGCTGCTCAATAGGGTTTAGGTCTGAATACAAACCGGGCCAGTCCATCACTTTTACCTTGAGCTTCATTAGCAAGGCAGTAGTCGTCTTGAAGGTGTGTTTGGAGTCGTTATCACGTTGGAATACTGCCCTGCGCCACAGTCTCCAAAAGTACGGGATCATGCTGTGCTTCAGTATGTCACAGTAAATGTTGGCATTCATGGTTCCCTCAATGAACTGTAGCTCCCAAGTGCCGGCAGGACTCATGCAGGCCCAGACCATGACACTCCCACCACCATGCTTGACTGTAGGCAAGACACACTTGTCTTTGTACTCCTCACTTGGTTGCCTCCATCGGACCACAGGACATGATTCCAGTAAGTCTTAGTCTGCTTGTCTTCAGCAAACTGTTTGCGGGTTTTCTTGTGCATCATCTTTAGAAGATGCTTCCTTCTGGGACGACATCCATGCAGACCAATTTGGTGTGGTTTAAGATCTGAGCACTGACAGGCTGACCCCCCCACCCCTTCAACCTCTGCAGCAATGCTGGCAGCACTCATTTGTCTATTTCCCAAAGACAATCTCTGGATATGACGCTGAGCATGTGCACTCAACCTCTTTGGTCGACCCCATATGGCAAGGCATGTGCTGAGTGGAACCTGTCCTGTGAAACCGCTGTATGGTCTTGCCCACTGTGCTGCAGCTCAGCTTTAGGGTCTTGGCAATCTTCTTATAGCCTAATCTTATTTATGTAGAGCAGTGGTTCTCAAACAAGTCCTCAAGACCCACCAACAGTCCAGGTTTTGTTAGTATCCCCATTGGAATAAAACAGGGAAATACAGAAATCCTGGACTATTGGTGGGCTTTGAGGACTGGTTTGAGAACCACTGATGTAGAGCAACATGGCAGAGAGTTCTTTGCCATGAGGTGCCATGTTGAACTTACATCGACCAGTATGAGAGAGTGTAAGAGTGATAACACATTTAACACACCTGCTCCCCATTCACATCTGACACCTTGTAACACTGATGAGTGTCATGACACCGGGGAGGTAAAATGGCTAATTGGGCCTAATTTGGACAATTCCACTTAGGGATGTACTCACTTTTGTTGCCAACGGTTTAGACTAGAAATGTACAATTTGTTTTGTTCAGAATGTAAATTTGGGCATTTCCAACATTCGGATGCTTACGAATGTCCGAAGTGCCAACGTTCGGAAGTACCGAACCAAACCGAAGATCGGTAATTCGGAAGTGCTTCAGAATTCTGGAAAAGTGGCAAAATAAGAGAGAGGGAGGGAAAATTACGTGAATGATGACAGGAATATTTACCAATAAGCTAATTCCCTTTGTGCAATATAATGCTTGCTTGCCCAATCCCGTTTCACTATTCCCTGTCCAATGAAATGAGCAATTTTTTGTTATGTTAGAGGACAGCCAATTATTGGTGATTTTTTCACTGACACTTGGCCAATGAAGGCACACAGAATCATTGAGGTGGGATAGTAATAAATCAGGCTATCCGGGTGTTGGCTTGCATTCATGTGACCATACGGCAGACTAGTTGTGATAGCACAAAGAGACAGAGAGATAAACAACATTCCATTTACTTTACTTGTTGCAGACTTGGGGAGCCACATTGCTTTTAAGTGTGTGTTACAGGGAGAGAGAGCTATGGGGGAGAGAGAGAGAGTGGGAATTGCCTTTTTTTTTTCTTCTGCATTCTGTTTATTTTATTTATTTATTTTTAAGAGGGAGGTGAGAGAGTGTGTTGCTTTGCAAGCCAGGTAGCCTGATTGCTGGGGTGTCTCTCTGCTGCACTGTGACTTTCCTGCAGTGATTTAATTTTAGATTTTTTTATTTTTCTGTGATTTAATTTAAATAAAAATTTCATAACACAAAAGAAACCATAATGGATCATCCACGTCCTTAGAGTCCTCACATTCTGCCCTCAAGCAAAGTAGCTGAGGAAACTGGTAGCCGTCATGTCGCTGCTGGTAGTACCACTACTTGCTCCTCCACCAGTACTAGTGTTAAGAGGCAGAGCACAGGAAGTGGTACACTTGCTTTCTCTTCAACTTACCTGAAGCGGAGGTAAATTCCTGCAACCAAAGTCAGCAGTAGCATTAGAAAGAGTTCAAGCCCAGTTAACCCACCCATGAAACTGAAGAGGGCAGGGAGGGAAACTGCAGGTCCCAATGTCCAGCTATTTGGCACCCAAAAGCAGCAGCAGTTGCCTTCTAGTAGCAGGGTTGAGAGGTCCCCTGGGTCTACAATGCCGCCACCATCCAAATCTCGTAGACGGCTGTTTACTCCCCTCACGACCACCAACATTGCTAGTGGTGACAGTAGTACCCCTACCTCCACTACTGCCAGCTCCACTGCTATGTTTTATAACAGCGGGGCAGTTTCAACACAGCCTGTTACCACTGCTCATCCATTTAGGCAGCCTAAGAGAGAGATATTAGAGTTAGAAGAGGAAACAATGCTAGTGCTACTTGTGCCACCACCACTAGTACCCCTGCTACTGCCACCACCTCTCATAGCAGCAGCAGCAGTACAATAATTGACGATATAATACAAGAATATATTTTTGTAGTTCCCAGTAGCCAGGGAGAAGAGGGAATTGATCAGCTTGCCCCAATTGCAGCTGCTGGTGACCCATCTCTGTTTCGCAGCAGCAAAGATATGGAACAATGATCTAGTCTAGGAAATGAGCAACTAGACTATGATGATGAGCCTGAAGATCTCTCTGTTGAAGACAGTCCACAACCACCTACTCAATCTTCCCTACTGATATCTGACACCCCAACTCCAGCAGTGCCAACTGCCCCTCCAGTTGATCGTGAAATTGCACAGTCTTCCCCACCCATAACTTGTAGTGGCACCCATCATTCCACAGTGTGGGAACATTTTGCAACAATTGGAGATGACCGTTTGGCAAAATGTCAACTGTGTGGCAGGAAAGTCAGCTGTGGTAAGTTGTTGGGTCATCTTACTAACTCTGGGATGAACCAACATCTTCCTATACACCACAAGGCCATCTTTCTAAGGCAAGAAAGTGGTGTGACTCCCACCTAGCAGCATTAGGAGTAGTAGTGCCACCACCACTAGACAGGACAAGGGGAACGGGGGGGATCATCGAACTTCTGCTGCAGGGCATAGTGCTACCAGTCATCTAATTCATGCTGCACAGCCCACCCTAGAAAATTTGGTGGGTTTCATTCTAGGGGGATGTCCAGGCAGCAGTCCAGGAAAATTACTCGGCTCATCGGTGAGCTGATGGGCCATTGTAGGTGCCCCGTTTAACATGGTTGAAGGGGAGCCCTTCAAGCATCTTAAGGAGGCTGTTGCACCGCAATATATCATTCCATTGCGCACTACTTTTAGCAGGAACTTACTGCCCTCACTCTACCGTTCCTGTATTCCTCTGTTGCGGTTTTGAAAGAGCACCTGGCAAAGGCTGGTGGCCAGTCAGTGCACTTCACAACTGACTTGTGGAGTGCTCCTAATGGCCAGCATGCCTTCCTGTTTTTGACAGGACATTGGGGGCAGCACAAGGTGTCAGGAGATGTCACCAAGTCAGACCCAGGGAGCAAGCACTGCTCCTTCCTCCACCATGCTGATATGATGGACAAACAACATACTTCAGCAAATATTTTGCAGGCACTAAAGAAGATGGTGGCGCAGTGTGTAGGACACCAGGCACGAATGGGCTTTGTGGTGACTGACAGAGCAGCAAACATGGTAAAGGCTCTTTATGATGTTAGCTTTGTAGCTGTGCGCTGCTCAGCTCATATCCTTCATTTAGTAGTGAAGGCTGCTATCAAACAGGAAAGCAGTGGACAGCTGGCAACCCTGCTTGAGAAATGCAAATTGCTGGCCACTTCCGCCGAAGCGTGAAGGATAGCCATCTCCTGAGAAATGAGCAAAGGAAGGCAGGCATTGACCAGCATCGTCTCAAGCAAGATGTAGGGACTAGATGGAACTCCACTTTGGAGATGCTGGAGCGCATCCTGGAGCAGCAGAAAGCAATCAATGCCATGTCCTATGAGCATTACGTCAGAATCGATAACCCCTTAGTCAGGGAGGATTGGTTAATGATTGGGCAGCTAGTGGCAGCCATTCAGAGATGTTATGGAGAATTTAAGCCAAGAAAATGCTAGCCTTGGTCAAGTAATCCCCTTGTTCACCCACCTCTCAAATAAGATGAGTGGCTTAATTTCTAACCAGGAAGTGGTACCTGGTGACCAACTACTTGTTGATGTTGCTGCACTTCTGAGGAGGCTCAAAAAGCCACTAACATGTAGGTTCAATGAGCGCATGGAGTCTTGCCAAGAGTTGATGCTTGTGTGCATGTGTGACCCAAGAATAAAAGGGCAAGATGGTACTCCACATGAATTCCCTGACCGCTTAGAGGGATAAATTGATTGACAGGGTGCGTGATGTGCAAAGAAAGTGGTTAAGGTTGTTTGAGGGATAAGAACAGCTAGAGGAGCCTGATAGTGTAGCACTATCATCTAGCGTAAGTGTAAGCAGCACTGCTCAATGCACTGGAGCAGCTGCATTTTGGGCTGAGGCCCTGGATAGTTTGGTGGGACCCACTACGGTTCCCTCAAAAAAAGGAAGTAGTGCCGCAGAGATGGTGAAGGCTTTACTTGTCGAACCACCTATGCCCCCTACTACAGATCCTTTGAGCTTTTGGGATGAGAAAATGGATATGTGGACTGCTCTCTCTCTATTAGCCCAGGAGCTCCTCTCTTGTTCCTCAACCACTGTCCTGAGTAAATGTGTTTTTTCTGTTACCGGGAAACATACTTTGCCCTCAGTGATCCCAACTGGTACCACAGCTCATGGAGCAAATGGCTTTCCTAAAAGTCAATCTGCCCAAGATGGGTTACCCCACTCTTAGCTGTGAATCAGATTGAACTACTTTGTCCATACCTCTGTCTGTTTTTCTCTATTCTGTCATTATTCTATACTTCCACGTTAAGCCAGGCCACTCCAAGGACTGGTAATACGTTTATTATCTTTCCTTAGTAGATCTCTGTGTCCAGGTTTGCATTTACCTTCCTTGACAGTGTTTTCGCTTCTGTTTATTCGTTAACTCTGCCCCACTTTATGACATACTCCTTATTGATTGGTATTGATTATTGAGCTATTATGCACCCAATGACTACTATGATTTGTCCAACTATTCTTCTACCTCCACACGGGCTCCTATTTAGATCCTTCTAGGATTCATTCACTTGTTTTTCCCTGAGGAAGGCGTCATGTTAGCGCTGAAACACGCTTTGGGGTTTGGGCTTTGTGTTTTTTTTTTTACTCACTTAACTCACTATGGGACAGGTGTTTGTTTACCTTCATTTACTGATAAAAAAAAAGACCTAAACCAGAGCCAGGAGGATTCCCTGATCGATAGTTGGTTGGTAAGTAATGGCATGTCAACACCTCAGGCCATGACTTTCCATCACCTGCACTCTTAACACTGCCATCACTACTTGCATGCAGTTACACACCCAGTAAGCTTGATCCAAAACACACCTGTGCAATTCACCATTGCTGTGGATAAGGTATAACACAATTCTAACACTAAATAAGTTATACGTGCACACAGCAGCCACAACTTTTGTAATTTTATGCCAAATATCCATGCTGCACTGCTTCTTGCTTTTAGTTGTGCACAACCGGCCCTGGGTTTAGCGCACTGCTCACACACAAATTAAGAATTCACTGAACTGCTTCCCATCGCTATAAAGTTGTATAGGCAAGTGTACTTCACATTCACACTATAAACTGACATAACAATCATCAGCACTCCACCCATATGTATATTAACAATTCCTATCTCCTTCAATAGGTGACACAAGATATGGAGGCCTGGCTGCTCACATGTCACACAGCATCTTTGTCTTGCTGAGCAAGCCTACAATGAAACCCACCTTAGGACCTGGTCTGTAATTAACCGTACCTTTAGATCACTATTGTGTGACCGTGCTATACTCCCCTCAAAAGGTCGCTGGCATTGTTATAGTTGTGATTTATGGACTATTGGGCTGTGTATGAGTGTGTGTATTGTGATGCATGGGCAGATGGGCTGTTTGTGAATGATGCACTTCCTTTCTTGTGGCTCTTTACTTCCTGTTCCTGTTGGCAGTTGGTGGAATGTTCGAGGGATTTAAAATGGCGGCTGCAGAAACCCTGTGTAACAAGGCTGCAATATGAAGATCCTGTTTTATATATGTATTAATAAAGTGAGTACTTCATTATACAGGAATTATTGACTGTTTTATACAAAACATCACAGTGGCGACGAGGCTGTAGAACCCAAACTGACATGGCAGCCATTGGCACCAGTGGCGTCTCTAGGATTCATTTTGCGGGGGGGCACATGGAGGGCCAGGGACAAAAGTAGGGGGGCACATTTAACCCCGCCCTCGCCACAGTTTGACCCCACCCCTGTCGCATGTTAAGCCATGCCCCCGACACAATGTGTTTTGTTTTTTTAATAATACCTGGTGGAGGATTCATTATTTTCCACCAGGGATTATTTAAAAAAAAAAAAACACATTACCCTTGATACAGTGCCATAGTTGCCAACATTTGAAAAAAAAATTCCAAGGACATTTTGCAGCACAGCTATCAATTACTGTCTGGGTATAATATCCCTGGACAGTCAGTGCTCTCTGTATAATACAGGGTTGTGTGTATAATAAATTGGGACAGTCAGTGCTCCCTGTATAGTGCTGCACTCTGTATAATACAGGGTTGTATGTATAATATCCCAAGACAGAAAGCAGCACTATACAGGGAGCACTGACTGTCCCGGGATATTATACAGGCACAGGCCTGTATTATACAGAGAGCAGCACTATACAGGAAGCACTGACTATCCCGGGATATTTTATACACACAGATCTGTATATACAGATAGCTGAGCATATACCCCATGTCCCAATCTCTAGGCAGTATGGGGGGCAGTGTGTGTGTATGAGGGCAGTACGGGGGGCAGTGTGTGTCTATGGGGAGCAGTGGGGGGGGCAGTGTGTGTCTATGGGGAGCAGTGGGGGGCAATGTGTGTTTATGGGGGCAGTATGGGGGGCAATGTGTGTGTAGAGTGTGTGAACCCCCCCCCCCCAGAAGCCTACCTGTCACTGGAGGAGGGGGAGGGGCTTATCTGCAGGAGGCGGGGCTTCGTTTGGGGGCGGGGCCTGTGCCGGGGAGCCAATCAGTGCTCCCTCCAGACAGCCCCCAGCACCTCAGTACTGCATTCCCTCGGGCTGTAACAGGCTATTACAGTCCGATGGAAGCCCATGGCCAGCATGTTGCTGGCATTTGGGGGGGCCCAAGGGGGGGCAGTGCATGATGTAGGGGGGGCCATGGCCCCCTCTGGCACCCCCCAGCGACGCCACTGATTGGCACTATAAAGGATTCTGATCCTGACTCGGATTTATGGGCCTCTTGGGTTGAAAGGCTTCAACAATATTTTGAAGCTTATGATATTCCTGACAATAAACAGGTCGCTGTTTTCCTAACAGTTATAGGAGCCAGAACGTATGATACGCTAAGGAGCCTCTTACACCCAGAGAAACCTGCCACCAAGCCATTGGCAAGCTTGATTACTCTGTTAAGTGGCCATTTCCAACCAAAACCACTAGAGATAGCAGAGAGATTTAAATTCTATAAAAGAAGACAAGAACCTGGTTAATCAGTTTCAGCATATGCCATTGCGTTACGGGAACTCGCCAGCACCTGTTGTTTTGGGGGCTACCTGCCCACTGCCCTGCAAGACCAGTTTGTAATGGGCATTGCAAGTGATACAGTGCTAAGGAGACTGCTTACAGACGAAGATTTAACATTTAAAAAGGCAATGAACATGGCAAGCATTATAGAACAAGCCTCTAAGGATGCTAATCTATTACACAGCAGACTGGACAACACACAGGAGGCAGAGGTAGACGTTTTAAAATTAGATGCTGGAGCACCAAGTGAACCACAGGGAAAGGGACATTCAAAACAGGAACATTCACATTACAAATGTTATCACTGCGGAGCTGCTACACATGTTGCAACTGCATGCAGATTCAAGGATGCCAAGTGTCATGCTTGTGGTAAAATGGGTCACCTACAAAAAGTGTGTAAATCCACAGCAGATAGAGGCAGTAATCGCTTGAGAGACAGAGCAAAGAATACCTTTAGAGTACAAACGCAGGAGTCTTCTGATGAACAATTTCCTGTATGAAATTTAAAAATATATAAAATAGGTTTTAATCTGGCTGCATTCACAGTTCATGGAAAGGAACTGACTATGGATTTGGACATAGATGCAGCTGTATCATTGATTTCTTTGACAAACTGGAAATGCCTTAAAATACATAGGCCAATAATTCAGACAACAGTGAGACTGCAAACATATTCTAAAGAGCTGTTAATACCAGTAGGTTGTGTGACAGTCACAGTTACATTCAACAAGTGTAAGAAGAAACTACCTCTCTATATCTTAGAGAATGCAGGATCTCCACTTTTTGGTAGGGAGTGGATAAAGGCTCTCGGGATGCCTCAAATGCATAAGTATCCATGTAATGTGTTGAATGAAAATCAGACCAGACTTGACTGGATTAGGTAATTACATGAAAAGTATGCACTAGTGTTTGATGGCCAATTGAGGACTGTAAAGGGACAACACGTTTCCTTAGAATTAAAGGAAGGAGCAACACCGAATTTTTTTAAAGTAAGAAGTGTGCCTTTTGCTCTAAGAGCTGGAGTTTAGGCAGAACTGAGGAGAGTAGAGGAGCTGAGTATCATCTCCCGAGTTCACAATAGGCTTCGCCCATTGTTCCTGTGAGAAAACAAAATGTGGAGATACGGATTTGTGGGGATTTCTGCATGGCTCAACACCCAGCTTAAAATAGATAAGTATCCCCTTCCTAGGGTAGATGATCTTTTTGCATCATTGGCAGGTGGCCAGAAATTTACCAAAATCGACTTGAAAAATGCATACCTACAGTTATCTGTACATCCAGATTCTTGACCACTACTTATGATTAATACCCATTGGGGGCTATTCAGGTATAACCGTATGGTTTTTGGCATTTCACCTGCACCAGCTGTCTGGCAGCGAACAATGGATAAGCTGTTAGCTGGAATTCCTGGGACACAGTGCCTGTTAGAGGACATGCTGGTGACAGGTAAATCAGAGGAGGAACATAAACAGAATGTAGAGGCAGTTTTGCAAAGACATGGAATATGGATTGAAGGTAAATTTGGATAAATGCCAATTCATGCAGGATCGTCTTGAATTTTGTGCTCATGTAATTGGCAAACATGGGCTGCATACAACAGATGAGAAGGTCAAGGCATTACAGGATGCTCCAACTCCACAAAATGTGACACAACTAAGGTCCTATCTTGGTCTGTTAAATTATTACAACCGTTTTTTGACAAATTTAGCTCATGTCCTGTACCCTTTACATCATCTTCTAGAGAGTAAATGACAATGGTGCTGGACAGTAGAATATGCTTCAGCTTTCCATAAGTCAAAAGAATTAGTTCGCAGTTCACGTCTTTTAGTACACTATGACTTGGAAAAGCCTGTTTCCATTGCTTGTGATGCATCACCTTACAGACTGGGAGCAGTCCTGTCTCATTCCATGGCTGATGGGACAGACAGGCCAGTAGCTTTTGCCTCTAGATCACTCACAGCTGCAGGAAAAATATCAAATAGATAAAGAGGCTCTGGCAATAACATGGGCAGTAAAGAAATTCCATCTTTATATATATGGTTGACCCTTCACACTGCTTACGGACCATAAAACTTTATTGACAATTTTAACCCACAGAAAGGTATTTCAATCACGACAGCAGCAAGACTTCAGAGGTATGCCTTAACTCTGGGGGCTTATCAGTATCAGATACAATATCGTCCAAATGCTCTGCATTATAATGCAGATGCATTCTCTAGAAGATATTTTAGTGAGGCGATAACACGATAACAGCCGGAGAAATTGCACAGGAGACAGCCAAGGACTCTTTGCTGAGGGAAATACTTGTTTTTGTACGCAAGGGTTGGCCACTAAAGCCTCCAATACATATAGACTTTGCGGGACCAGTGGAAAATAAAATGTATCTGATTGTGGTAGACGCACATTCTAAATGGCCATAAGTTCTATTCATGTCGCAGACCACTGCAGAAGCTACTGTTAAAGCATTACAGAAACTATTTGCAACATTTGGCTTGCCCATACTGCTTGTTTCAGATAATGGACCACAGTTTGTTTCTGGACAATTTCGGGCTTTTCTCAAGGAAAAAAAACGGTATTCGGCATCATCGTACAGCACCGTATTATCCTGCTACTGATGGTCAAGCAGAACATTTTGTTCAAACGTTAAACGGTTTTCTGAGAAGTCTGAAAGCAGAAGGAAAGAGACCTGAACATCATTTGTCTGAGTTCCTTCTGCAGTATCAAAATACACCTCATCCAACCACTGGACAACCTCCAGCATGCCTTATGTTAGGCTGTGAAATCAAGACAAAGTTGGATCTGAGAGAGAAGGGCCACAAACCGCTGGCAACCAGAAGATTAATTAAGGGACTATAGTCGGAGAAACTCCACAGTGAGTAGGTGGAAATGGCATCCTAGTAAGAATAGAATAAGCTGTCCTGAAAAAAAGATTGTAGATCTTGAAGATGATGGACAGAATGATGCAGATTAAGGACACATTTTTTAAATTGTTCATTTATTATTGTTGACTTTTTACTATTTTGTTTTCTTTCTTTTGTTGAGAAAGGAAGCTGTGATATATGGACTGTTGGGCTATGTATGAGTGTGTGAGTGTATGTTTTGTAATGCATGGGCAGATGGTCTGTTTGTGAATGATGCACTTCCTTTCTTGTGGCTCTTTACTTCCTGTTCCTGTTGGCAGTTGGTGGAATGTTCGAGGGATTTGAAATGGCGGCTGCAGAAGCCCTGTGTAACAAGGCTGCGATATGAAGATCCTGTTTTATATATGTATTAATAAAGTGAGTACTTCATTATTCAGGATTTATTGACGGATTTGTACAAAACATCAGTTATTGACTGCTCTTGCCAACATAGTCTGGTGCATTAGGGGATTCATGCCGAATCATACATGAAGACTTCCAAGGTAAGCAACACCTTTTTTGATCATATATAATATATACTAGTGGTTAAGCCGGTGTACAAGAGCCACAGATCGGCCTCTGTCCCCTCACCCTCCATGCTGCTCCCCTTACTTTCTCTCCCTCCTTTTCTCTCTACTTCATTTCTGTCCCTCCTTTTCTCTTCCTCCTTGCCGCCACCCCACCTCCCCCATTCCTACACACACACAGAAAAAGAGCCCAGGGCCCCAATCTGGCACCCTGCCTAGGGCAACATTAATCTGGCTCTAGGTTACTACAACCACCATAAACACTTCAGTGATTTAAAGTGGTCATTGTGGCAGGAGTCTGATTGCGCAGAGTTTCTGGTTTCAAATCACCCTCCCTCACCGGATCAGAATGCATGCATGTGCTCTGAGCTGGCATAACTGTCAAATCAAAGGCTTCTCTATAAGAAGGGAGGGGGATCCTATTAGTAATGCCCAATTGAACATTAGGAATTATTTAAAAAGAACAAAAAAACAAAACAAAAAAGCACCACTAAATTTACTAAGCAAGGGATCTCATTGTACAGCGCTATGGAATTTGCTGGTGATATTAAAATAATGTAGCCATTTACCCTACATAGATTATGTAAATTTTACATGTATACATCCATATCAACCTTATTTTAAAGACACCATACCAACTTCATTGATATAAAGTTGTTGTAGAGCCTAAAGTGTTCCTTAACCCCTTAAGGACACATGACATGTGTGACATGTCATGATTCCCTTTTATTCCAGAAGCTTGGTCCTTAAGGGGTTAAACTATTGTTCAACTGGAGTGTTAAATATTACTATGTATATGTAATACTTAACCAGATTAAAATTCGTATCTTGTAATACTTTATTGGACTAACAGAATTTTTTTTTCTTTTTTTTTTTTTTTTATTGACAAGCTTTCTGGAGAACCTCCCTTTCTCAAGTATGAAGCATTTCTGAGCAAGACGACACATACAATTCAAAGTTGAGTTGGGATACAGGGGTTAAAGAGACATGGTGCAGAAAAGACACAGGTTTGTTCTTGCAGAGGGTCGTAAATATCTGTGTGAAGATCAGAGTTAGGTGGAAGAGAGAGAAAACAAACAGTACATAAGATGTTTTCTTGTTTTTTTCCCTCTCGCCCCAGTCATTATGATTTATGGTCATTAATCATAAAAATCTGCATGGCTGCTAGACCATATGATATATGGGCTTCACCATGCAATTTGCAGAGCACACCATAACTTACCCCATTGTTGTAAATAATTTTAGATATTAAGTTTTTTTTTTTTTTTTTTACAAATACACTGTAATATCGGTTAAGATTTCAATACAGCTGCCAGCCAAACCACATAACTAATTGACTTTTACAGGTGAAACAAGCATAAGAGCATATACATAGCAAGTGCATAAAGCTAGCATAACATAAGTTACTTACAGGAATTTGTATTCTTAGTATAAATCTAAATGTATACAACACATAAATTTTACATGATCGTCATGATGTGACCTATGGCATAGTTTTGCATAATCATATTTTTACAATACGTGGTATAGTTCAGTAGTGAAATATATGCACCTTCATGCAAGTGGCGGGAATATGTGTGCCAAATTTCACATTGTCCTAACAACTGGTTTCAGCTTAAAATGTTTTTGCATGAATTATAAGCAAACAACATTTCTTGCATGACTGTCACAACATGATAGTGCACAGCAATATGTAAATCTGTAGCACAAATGGTTCTGTAAAAGCAGATGTTTTATGGGACCTTATGACTATTTGGTTGCAAAGTATATAGAACACTATAGGTCTCTACAACGAAAAGAAAAAACTAAACAAAAAGAGGGAGCGCTGGGTCTTTTTTTTTTTTATTTACCGGGACCTCTGCTCACAAGTTCCTCCTCTCCACCAGTGGCTGCCTTCTCTGGCCCCTGGCGGAATCATCGGGAATGGTCCTGGCGGGGCGGAGGATACTGGTTGGGACTCTGATGATCCACACGATGGAGCACTGCGACGCACTATTTCATAAATAATGGAAAGTTTCATGTGCTTCATCGCCTGTCGCTGCTCCATGCTGACCCGGGACACCACACGGTCCATTTGTTTTGACAAGTTTAGACTTATGCGGTTGATGGCCCGGGTCTGCCTCCTTATGGCCCGAACCATGTAATCTCCTTGATCCGCCGCATGGATCTGCCTGGGCCAGGTGATGGCTCTGTCTGGAGAAGTGGCAGTGGCTGGACAGGTGGCAGTGTGATTGCTGGCTCTTGTGCAGCCACACGGTGGGCAGTCTCAAAAGACAGACCCTGGTCTTATGTCAACCTCAAGGGAGCAGGCAATCGATTCTGCCGAGGACGGCACAGCCTCAATCACACAAGGACAGGTAAATGAAGCGAGTTGTCCTCTTTGCCTTTCTCATCTATTTCAGGTCAAAGGCAGTCTGTTGGGAGAGGCGATGTTGGTAACATGCAAACAAATGCATTTGTGAACATGTTATAGACATTTGCTACATGTAGCTGTGTCACTATCTTTTTAATAATCTATATTGTATTTTTTTTAATGTAAAAAGAATAGTATTACTCTAGGAAATGGTTACACTTATATCTAAGGAGGACTTAACACAATTAGAATTGATTAACATTGCTATAACAGTTAAAGGAACACTATAGCGTTAGGAATGCAAATTTGTGTTCAACGCTATAGAGCCCTAGTCACGGTTTATAAATGAACCATTTATTTGCTTACCTTAATCCAGCGTTGGGCTTCCTCGGCACTGGTGACCTCTTCTCCATCTACATCAGCTTCGAGTGGAGCTGAATGTGCATTCAAACCCAACCATTGGAAAGCATTACTCAATGCTTTCCTATGGGGATCTTTTTGGACCCTGAACTCCGTGAGGACGTCCAACGTCAAATAAGTGTGATTTACTCAGTGTTAGTCACGGAAGCGGCCTCTAGTGGCTGTCAACACGGCCGTGTAAACATAACAGTTTCTCTGCTTTCAGCTGCAGGGTTAACCAATGTTTTCCTATGGGGAAAATTAATGCACACGTTGTGCATGCACATCAGGTCTCCAATGCTCCTCTATGAGTACCGGGGCGGCAGGGAGACGACCTTAGCAGTAGGTGCTTTAGTGTTCCTTTAAATGTTCTATACAGAACTTGTTATTGATCATGCAAAGATTTGCAGCTGTTAAAATCGCTACTATTCAGTCTGTTGATGTCACTCTCCACCTCTTAAAGCTTCTTATTCTGAAGGAAATGTCTAGCATTTTTTGAAAATTAAAATGTAAAAATCTAAATCAGCATTGCAATAGTAACATTTTCTATGCCATTTTAGGATTTCAGCAGATTTGACCTTTTGTGAGTAAATCTTAGACCAATCTAGCTATTGAGAGGTCTACTGGAGATAAAGGGAGCCTTGGGAGAGAAGTGAAAGAGCCCCTTTATCAGTGATTTAAGCAAATTCTGCTTAGATTAGCAAGATTGGCATTGGTTAAAGGGTTAATCCAACCATCATGACAACTTCAGTGGTCATGGTGTCTGCATGTGCAGAGTCTTGCTGGTAAGCACCGCACATACCTACCTTTGGCAAGGTTCACTAGTGCAGTCCTGTACAACTTTCCTTGCACTGGGTGCCATTCATTGGCTGAGAACGGTCTGCTGTACATTGTTAACTGCATATAAACCAGGCAGTTAGCCTGAATAAAGCATTCCTGTTATACCCTTCATCTAGTTCAGGCTGATGTTTGGTATCTGTCTACTTTGCTGGGAGAATATGCTTGGATGCTGCAATTCATATGGAGAAACAATCGAAGCAACACCCGAACTGCGAACTATAAATCACGCAAGCTCTAGCAGTTTGGGAGAAAATAGGCGAATGGGTATCTGTCTTACCAACGTTCGGTACAGCCCCAATGAAAATATGCATGCATGTTTTCATTGGGGGTACATCTTCTAAACAGTGATTTTTTGGCAGTGGAGTGTTCCTTTAAAGGGACTCCAGTGCCAGGAAACAAACCCATTTTCCTGGCACTAGAGAATCCTACAGTGCCCCTCTCCCTCCTGCCCCCCATCCCAGGGGGAAGGGTGATGGGAGTTGGCACCCAGACCACTCCATTGGGCAGAAGTGCTCTGGGTGCCTGGAGTGTCCCTTTAATGCTGAATAAATGCAGTTCATTAGTTATTTACCCTTTGTGTACTCACCAGAACTTGGCTGAGATGTGCTTGGAGCCGATCCCCCACAAGATGAGGTTGACGGACCTTAAAAAAATAAAAAATAAAAAATAAAAATAAATAAAAAACCAACCTAAAAAAGGTAAGTTCACACTTGTAATAGTGAAGTATAGTGAGCTTCTAAACAAAAATATCATTAGAATTTAATGATGAGATTAATTTTACTCACTGAGAGTCTGTTTGCTAGCTTTTAAGACCAAGTTGCATGCATTAATGAGGCTAAAACAAAATTCATAATAACAAATCAGATTTAACAGCTTTGAGAGAAAAAGGGGAAAAAAAAAAAATTGAAGGGGATGAAAGACACAGGGTATTAACAGAAATCTGTTTGGAGAACATTTCTGTCAACCATGGACACAGTATCCAGGATGTGAAGCTTTTGATACATTCTTTGGGGATACTTCCACACCTAGAGGGAGAGAAAAATATGTGAGGTCAAGCTAATATGCCAGTTTAAGGCCTAAAGAGAGACAGTGAATTTATTTCACAATATAACTTTACTAATTAATAATCTTTCTACAAACCCTGCATTACTGCAGTGAACTTATTTCAAATGGCAAATATTTGACACCTTCATACATCTAACATGTGTCTAATTGTTTTATTGCCCCCCTAACCAGGGAGTTAAGTGATCAGGGATGATCTGGCCAAACTGATTTTATCTGTCCGATCTCTGTAGAACTGGCTAATTTACTGCGGAGAACATTCATTAATACCCTGTGTTTAGGTCATTTGACTATTAAACTATTTGTCATGTTCCTGAGCAGGCCAGAGAGGGGACGATTGCCAGAGTTATTGGTTGAAACTTGGTCTTTTTAGACATAACAATTTACTTGAAATAAAGAATTAAGGCAATATGCCACAAATGGGATAGCTTGAAAGTAAATGAATTAGAATTAGTAGTGTGACATTCCACAAACTACTAATCTCCTTGGAATCACTTCAAGTGTGTGTGTGTGTGTGTGTGTGTGTGTGTGTGTGTGTGTGTGTGTGTGTGTGTGTGTGTGTATATACACACACACACACACACACACACACACTTGAAGTGATTCCAAGGAGATTAGTAGTTTGTGGAATGTCACACTGCAGTCAGGTTTTGGATGATACAGGGTTGAAATAGTTAAAACTGGTAAATAGTTTCAGTATAATAATAATATAGTTTGCTTACAGGATTATGCAGAGTTTCAGTAGTTGTGACAGGTAAATAGTTTCCAGTATAATGTAATACAGGTTGCTTACAGGATCATGCAGTATTGCAGCAGTTGAAGCAGTTAAGGATCTTCAATATGGTAGATCAAGCAGGTAAGTCTCTTCAGATTGAAATAATGCAGATAAATACAGGATGTTTTCAGGAGCCAGGATAAGAAGTTCTATGTCAGAACACTGACTTCAATGTAAAGGCCATGTGAAGGGTTGGGTGTGGCCTCTTATAGCAGACTTGGAAGATCATATGAGGCAGGTGAGAGCAACTGAGGATTGACTAGTGGCTAGGGAGGCCACTAGAGGCGAGAAACAGGTATTGCAGCAATAAAATAAAACAATATCTTGGTTGTCAGAATAGGATCCTGACACTATTATTTAACCAATACGTATACGAATATACCTTATATATATATATACAAATAATTACATATTACAATATTTGCATTTATTATGGTCTGCTGTAAATGTGATAAGTTAATAAATATTTTTGGGAACAAGTAATAAATTGTGTGTTTATATGTTTTACATTTAAGAGAGTTTAATGAATAAAAAGGAAATAAAGGGGAATTTGCAAGAAAATGTCTATTCAGCTCTTCACAAAAAAAAAGCTACTTTGGCCTAGTTTTTATAATTGCCCTGCAAATTCAACAAAATTTTTATAGGTGACTATATAAAGAATAATTTTGTGATATATTATTTACCTGTGCTTCACACAGCCGATAGACCTGCACACCTCTCCAACAGCATTTACTGTGTCCCTTATCCTGGCCCAGGCAGCCTTCTTCCTCGATGATCTGGTCGAAGAAAAGAGTATTTATTTTTCCTTGATGACGGCAGCCACCAGCGCACAGTTTTCTGCGTTGCTGAAAGGGGCCCCCTGTGATCTTTTACCAAGGAGGGCCTCCTCAGATGAGGAGCCTGTACTACTAGAAGTAGTCAATATAAGGGCCCATTTTCTCCCAGCCAAATCCTCCCCAACTCCCTTCCTTCTTCCCTCCTCCCTGGGAGCCCCTTCCCTGCACATAGAATGCCTACATTCCCTCCCACCACTCTGCCTGGGCAAATCCTCCCCAGCTTCCCACCCCCCGCCCCTAGAATGCTTAGCTTCCCTCCCACTATCCTCCCTGCACCTAGAATGCCTATCTTCCCTCACACCACCCTCCCTGCCCCTAGAATGCTTAGCTTCCCTTGCACCACCCTCCATGCCCCTAGAACACCTACGTTCCCTTCCACCACCCGCCCTGGGCAAATCCCCCACTACCACCACTCTCCCTGGGGGACCCTACACTGCTCTCCCTACCAGCCACAACTACCCCACTACCACCACCACAACTCTCCCTGGGGGACCCTACACTGCTCTACCTACCAGACATTGCTCTCTCTCACTTGCTTGTTCACACACAAATTGCTTTCTCTCTGCTTTCACACTCTGCTCAGTCTCACTCTCTCTGCTCAGTCTCTTCTCTCTCTCTGCTCAGTCTCCTCTCTCTTTTTTAAGATTAGGTGGTCTGGGTGCTGCTGTGGTCCACTATGCAATGTAAAACAGTGCTGTCTAAGAAAAAAACACACAAATGTTTATTTTCAAAACCAACGACATTCCGAAGCGCCGATGTCCCAAAGCGCTGAAGTACCAAAACGCCAAAGTCCCGAAGCGCCTAAGTGAAACAAATGCCATTGGTCCAAATTGCCGAAGCAGACAAATTTTTCTACATACACGAATTTAACAGATCAAATTTTTTGCCACACATCCCTAGTTTAGACATTAATGGCTGTGTGTTGAGTTATTTTAAGGGGACAGCAAATTAACACTGTTATACACGCTGTACACTTACTACTTTACATTGTAGCAGACTGTCATTTCTTGAAAAGATATAATAAATACATGAAGAGATATAATTAAATAATTACAAAAATGTGAGGGGTGAGATATTGTATAAAAGAATGCATTAACAAGAAAAAGAGAAAGAAGCTACTCCTAATAATTACTGTAGTGAGTGTATAGTTGTAGACTATACTAGATTTAGTGTAACTACAATCATAATTTTATTAATGACAGGACATATTTGCTTAAGTCTCTCTTTACTAGAATTCCACAACAGCACATTAACATAGAGAGAAAAAACAATCACAAAAAAGTAAGAAAACCATAAAAGGCCCCTCCCAACCAACTACTTCCTCTTTCAAGCTGCGACAAAATAGAGTACATGAACAATATACAACTCAATAATAATAGTAGAAGAAATCAAACAAAATAAATCGATGACCGCCATCCGAAACTTGTAACGTGGATCCAGTGGATGAAACCTTGACCTCTATCCTGAAGAAGATCCAGATCTAAGAACTGTAGTTGAACCATTAAACTGAAATGAGAAAAACAGAGTTGAAAATTCCGATTAGTGTATGAAATGTACTGTGAAAACATGAATACCCATCATCAATTACTAACAGTACAACATCCCTGAAAACACACACTACTCCCCCTAGGAACACAAATACCTGACCTATCTACCACAGCCCAGGAGAACAGGCTAACACTAAAAGTAGGTCATCCTAAACAAAACCAAAGAAAAAGGGGTAGGGAGAAACTGGGAAGGAAATATTCGCCTCCTGTCATTAATAAAATTAAGATTATAGTTACACTAAAGCTAGTATAATCTACAATTTTATAGCATGACAGGAGGCTTCATATTTTCTGTTTTAAAGCTCCGACAGCAAAGCAAAAGAAGCATGATTCGATGGTCTAAAATAGAATTGGCAAAAGGTATCTTCTCAGGACCAGTCAGCTGAAAGCATGATGTCCTGAAGGGAAGCGCTCGCCATGAAGGCTCCAGAGGCTACCGCGCCTCTAGCCGAATGCGCTCCAAAGGTCGAATTCACCCCCGCCAATGCCAATAACAATTTTATCCATCGCGCCAGAGTAGGAGATGAGACTGGTCTGTGAGGTCTGACATAAGAAATCAACAACTGGCCGGAATGAGAAGTACAAAGAGAGGCGGTAATCACCATATAACGAGACAGAGTCTTCGCTACACAGAGTTTAGGCGAGTCCTCAAATATGGGTAAAAAATAGCAGTCGAATCTGACTTAGTATGTCTAGACACCCTGAAGGTGACCCCTTCCGGAGAGAAAGAAAAAGCGTTGACATCGAAGGCCCGGACATCAGAAACACGCCTGAACAAAATAAAACATAATAAGAGGGCAAATTTAGCCGAAAGTTGATGAAGGGAAAGGTCTTGATAATCAGGCCAATCCCGGAGGAACGACAACACCGCGCGTACGTCCCAGAGGGAGGAATACTTAGGCAGAGGTGGCCGCGATAGTCTCATACCACGAAGAAGTCTGCAGACTAGCGGATCCTGGCCAATGGGCAAATCTGTAAGTGGTACATGGGCTGTCGAGATTGCTGATCTCGCCACATTAACTGAACGACGTGATCGTCCCAGATCAAACAGGTGAGACAGAAAATTCAGCACGCTGGTTACCGGGCCCGTAAAGGGATCGTTGTTCCATTCCAGACACCAACGACACCAGGAGCCCCATGCTGATAAATAGCATCTTCTAGTCCCAGAGGAGATCCTTAGCCGACTGCGATAACGCCTCAACATTCAAGGTTCCCCTGAAAGAGTCCAGGCCACCAAGCGCAGGTGGCCATCCCTCACGAGGGTATGAGGATTGCCCCATGAGGCAGAGAGGAGCATCAGAGGGGATGGCAGGAGTAGTGGATCCCGATGGGAGAGATCCAGAAGCTCCAGAAACCAGGCTTGACTCTGCCATAGTGGAGTCAGCAACACCAAAGACACACGCTGACTTCGAACTTGCAGCAATACCCTGGGAATCATAGCAAATGGAGGAAATGCATAAGCTCCCTGTGAAGGCCACTCTTGAAGAAAAGCGTCCACGGCTGGGCACGCTGGATCCGGGAGCCAGCTGAAGTAGGTCGGGACTTCATAGTTCGTCCGGGAGGCGAAAAGGTCCACTGCGAGCTTGTGGAAAATGGGCTGAAGGAGTTTCGACTCCCCTGCCAGATATTCCGCCTGGAGGGTGATGTTGTGTTGGAAGCAGAAGCTGTAGATCTCCTTCGTCACCTCCGAGAGTGCCCGAGAACATGCGCCTCCCAAGCGGTTGATGTACTGCACCGCCAAGACATTGTCCATCCGGAGGAGGACGCAGCAATCCGAAAGGTGGCTTGCCAGACTCCAAATCATAAGCGATCCCGCAATTAGTTACAGGCAGTTGATGTGGAACTCTGATTCTCTCTCTGATCAAGGACCCCCCGTGGAGCTGGTCGCACAGGTGGCACCCCAGCCCCAAAGACTCGCATCCAACTCCAGCGCGAAATCTGGAGTCGGACCGAAGATCGCCTTGCCGTTCCAGGCTGACATGTGCAGGAGCCACCAGCGCAGTTCGGTCTTCACGTCCAGAGAAAGGGGAATCACATGGTTGTTGGAAGGTCTCCTGCGTAGAAAACAGGCCTTCGGCCGTTGCATGGCCCTCTAATGAAGCGGGCCCGGGTAGATCGCCTGGATTGAGACCCACTACCCGAGCCAACATAAGCGGTCTTGACGTAGGATCCTCCTTATTTCTTTTCAAATGGTCGCTGTCTTGGATAGAGGCAAACGAAGGACACATTCTTTCACATCCACTTCGAAACCCAAGAACTCTACTACCTGGGAAAGGAGAGAGAGCTGACTTATTCAAGCTGACCACGAACCCCAGGTGTTCGAATAAGGAGACCGCAGAGCGCGTCTGACATCTCAGTCTGGAGGGCTCCTCGCAAAAGATCAGCAAATCATCCAGGTAGACGATACAACGGACGCCCTCTGACCGGAGTCGAGCAATCATTGGCTTCAAGAGCTTGGTGAAACACCACGGAGCCGAGCTGAGTCCGAAGGCAAGGTGCTGAG